TTCAAAAGAAAGTTTAAAAAAAAATTGTCCAATCAAAATTAATCCTGCTCTAGTGGTCAGTTGTTCTGCATTTATTCTACATAGTCTCATAGGAACACACTTGCAACATACATATTTTAACAAATCCTTTCCAAAATATTAGGGCAAAATATTACAATTTTTATAGTGAATAATGAAATGATGGGTTAGATGAGTCATCTAGGGCCATCTTAGTGGTCCTATTGTTTATTATGAAGAAAAAAAGCTAAAACAATCAGTGTTGTGAAAGTATATTACTAAAGGGGCAAGTTAAAGTTTGATCGAGCTGAACTGCCGAAAGAGCTGGACTTGCCTTTCAGCAAGTTCTTTTGAAAAATAATTTCCAACACTGAAAAACAGTTGTTTCTGGTGAGCGACTCAGGGCCATCATGGCCCTCTTGTTTAATAATTTCATTTTTCTTGCGCAATTCTCTAAAATGAGACTTGGTTTTTTTCTATATGCGTTTCACAATTAACATTCACCATACCAGGTTGTAAAATAACTTAATTTGGTCCTTAAATCAGTTTTTACCATAACATCAAACTTCATTCAGAATTCATGTCACGTTATTGTGAGCAAAATTCTGAGTTTCCTTTAGATATGAACAAGAAAATGTTTATTACCCCCCGCCGAAAAGACGGATATAGAATTAGTCTCCATCCGTCCGTCTGTCCTTCCCGTCCGTCACTCTAAACGTTTTTGTCCGGAGCATATCTCAAAAAGTATCAATTTGAAACTTCATAGGTGGAGGTATCAACTTGAAACTTCATTTGTGGATAAATCATATTTAGGAAAAGTGCAGTGCACAAGAATGATAACTCTACGCTGCATATTTTTTTCATTGTTGCCCTTTGTTATTCTTCAAACTCAATTTTTGTCCACAGCAAAAAGCCTTTGAGATATCAACATGAAACTTCATGTGGATAGATCTCACTCAGGAGGTGTGCAATGCAAGAGTGATAACTGTACCATTTCTAAATTTTGAGTTATACCTCTTTGTTATTTTTCATACTTAATTTTCCACCTGAGTGGAGCATAAATTAACTAAAAAAAACAAACTTTGAGATGTAAATGTAAATGAAAAAGTCTTTGAAATGTCAACATGAAACTTCATAGGTGGATAGATCTTTTTGAGGAGGAATGTTGTGCGCAAGAATGATAACTCTATCCTTTATAATGTTTGAGTTATTGCCATTTGTTATTTTTCAAACTTTTTGTCCGGAGCTTATCTAAAAAAAATGTTAGAGGTAACAACTTGAAACTTCATAGGTGGATAGATCTTATTGGGGAGCATTGCAGCACACTAGAATGATAACATACCGTGCATTGTTTTTTCAGTTATTGCACTTTGTTATTTTTCATACTTTATTTTTGTCCAGGGTATAACTACAAAAGCATTTGAGATTTCAACATGAAACTTCATAGGTGGATAGGTCTTACTCAGGAGGTATGCAGTGCAAAAGAGTGATAACTCTACCCTTCATAATTTTTGAGTTATTGCCCTTTGTTATTTTTCATACTAATTTTTTCACCTCAGTGGAGCATATCTCTGAAAAAGTCTTTGAAATGTCAACATGAAACTTCATAGGTGGATAGATCTTTTTGAGGAGGAATGTTGTGCGCAAGAATGATAACTCTATCCTTTATAATGTTTGAGTTATTGCCATTTGTTATTTTTCAAACTTTTTGTCCGGATCTTATCTAAAAAAAATGTTAGAGGTAACAACTTGAAACTTCATAGGTGGATAGATCTTATTGGGGAGCATTGCAGCACACTAGAATGATAACATACCGTGCATTGTTTTTTCAGTTATTGCACTTTGTTATTTTTCATACTTTATTTTTGTCCAGGGTATAACTACAAAAGCATTTGAGATTTCAACATGAAACTTCATAGGTGGATAGGTCTTACTCAGGAGGTATGCAGTGCAAAAGAGTGATAACTCTACCCTTCATAATTTTTGAGTTATTGCCCTTTGTTATTTTCCATACTAAATTTTTCACCTGAGTGGAGCATATCTCTGAAAAAGTATTTGAAATGTCAACATGAAACTTTATAGGAGGATAGATCTTATTGGAGAGGAATGTTGTGCGAAAGAATAATACCCTTTATATTTTGTTAGTTATTGCCATTTGTTAATTTTCATACTTTTGTCCGGAGCTTATCTCAATTATTATTAATTGAGCCTTGATTTTAAACTAAATGTGTCTGTATTTCTTACCATCCTTTACTGGTTTTAGATTATCATTATTGTTTAATAGGTTTACTTAATTAATGTTGTTCATTATGTCTTATATATATATGATTATGTTTTATCGGATTTATGTAAAGCACTCTTGAACATTTATTATTTATGAAAAGAGTGCTATAGAAATGTGGTATATAATAATAATAATAATAATAATAATAATCTCAAAAAGGTGTTAGAGGTATCAACTTGAAACTTATTAGGTGGATAGATCTCATTGAGGAGGAGTGCAGCACACAAGACATTTAACCTACCGTGCATTATTTTTCAGTTATTGCCCTTTGTTATTTTTCATACTTAATTTTGTCCAGAGCATAACTACAAAGGCCTTTGAGATATCAACATGAACCTTCATAGGTGGATAAATCTCACTCGAGAGGTATGCAGTACACAAGAATGATAATTATTCTGCTCTACTACATATAAACATGGCTCTTGTAACAAGTTACATGATTATGATATTTTAAAACCTTCTGAACAAGTTAACATGTCAATTCAAAACAATGCTATTTGGAGATACCTTATCAATATATTTAACTGGTTTTTTTTTGTTGTTTTTTTTTTGTGTGTGGGGGTTGTTTTTGTTTTTTGTTGTTGTTGTTTTTCGCCGTGACAATTATATTGCTGCATTTCCCAGCAATTTTTTACTTGTATACTTATTGGTGTGTGTGTGTATATATATATTTACAACAACAACAACAAAAAGAATTGCGTAATGTTTCTATTTATAGAATTGCGTCATTGTTTCTATTTATAGAATTGCGTCATTGTTTCTATTTATAGAATTGCGTCATTGTTTCTATTTATAGAATTGCGTCATTGTTTCTATTTTTAGAAATTGCGTCATTGTTGCTTTTTTTAGAAATTGCATCATTGTTTCTATTTTTAGAAATTACATCATTGTTGCTATTTTTAGAAATTGCGTCATTGTTGCTTATTATAGAAATTGCGTCATTGTTTCTATTTTTAGAAATTGCGTCATTGTTTCTATTTTTAGAAATTGCGAAATTGTTTCTAATTTTAGAAATTGCGTCATTGTTTCTATTTTTAGAAATTGCATCATTGTTGCTATTTTTAGAAATTGTGTCATTGTTTCTATTTTTAGAAATTGCGTCATTGTTTCTATTTTTTAGAAATTGCGTCATTGTTTCTATTTTTAGAAATTGCATCATTGTTGCTATTTTTAGAAATTGCTTCATTGTTTCTATTTATAGAAATTGCATCATTGTTGCTATTTTTAGAAATTGCGTCATTGTTGCTATTTTTAGAAATTGCGTCATTGTTGCTATTTTTAGAAATTGCGTCATTGTTTCTATTTATAGAAATTGCGTCATTGTTGCTATTTTTAGAAATTGCATCATTGTTGCTATTTTTAGAAATTGCGTCATTGTTTCTATTTTTAGAAATTGCGTCATTTTAGAAATTGCGTCATTGTTTCTATTTTTAGAAATTGCGTCATTGTTTCTATTTTTAGAAATTGCGTCATGTTGCTATTTTTAGAAATTGCGTAATGTTTCTATTCATATATATATACAAAATATATAAACAAAACTAATGTGACAAAACAGACCGACTAAATTTATAAAAAGGAAACGTTAAGATATGTTCAAACCTTTCTATGTTTGCGTTTAGAAAAAGTAAAAAGTTGAGCGTTGCCCCCGCCCGGCGGTGGCTCTTGTTGGTAGTTGTTGCCTTTAACAAATAAGCGTTGACACAGCATGTCATGCTCCTGTCTGATATCATTGTTTTTTATCCGCAAACTATGACAATAGTCTAATAAACAAGTAAATAATTATACTATATAGAAATCAATTTGTAAACAATTTTTTATCTTGTGGACCTTTTTAGCTGTAAGATTAAGAATAATAAAGATCACTGATTTCTAACCAGTTGCAACTTACACTGTGGGCTTGAGTATTGCACTGGATTTGGAAACTTTCCTTTTGAAGATGCTATCAATGATTAGCTACATGTATGTAAGGTCAGTGGTTCTACCGATGATGCCATGTCTCTTATGCTGACAATAATCCACCAAGTGGCACTTAAATCTTTTTCCACCATTAATTTAAGAAAGTAATTATCACACATGATTTATTTTGCTTGACTTTAAACTTGGCAAACAAGTATTTCAAATCATACTTCCCATACATGTAGATTGAGTTACAAATATCATGAAGGTGATCCTATGAGTTTATAAATTGATAATATATATTTAAAACTTATCCTGTTTCTATGCATTTGACCAGAACAGACCAAAATCAACTGCCAACAACTGTGCAGTCTTATCACAGTCTACACTGTTAGCTTTTCAGTATAACCATATTTTGAAACTTCTCCTTACAATGATTTATGGTTTTTGTCAAGAATGGAAGCTGGACAAGTCCATTAAGATATTTAGTACAGTAAAGGTTAAACATTAATCAAATGACTGTTTTGTTTGATCAGAATACTCAGTGCCACTGTCATTACACCTTAATTTATGTTTACATCAGTTTGGATAGTTAGAGACAGCTCTCTGTCTACAGATTTTCTCTCCATCATATATATATATATGTACATGTATATAATTCAAAGATTGTAGAGGAACTGAGCAAAAGTACATACTAGTATATATATTTAGAATCTAACTATGACATGCTCAAAATAAGTGATTTTCTTTAACAACAGGCAACTATGTTCTCTTTTTTTGCTAAATAAACATATGCATGTAATTTATAATATCTAAATTTCAGCAAAAATGGCAGACTTGTCTCAGTACACACTACCAAACAGTACAGATGTTTGTCTGTTAGACTGTATGACAGCATTCAAGAATCTCACAGACCAAGAGAAGAGGTATGCCCATCATGTGTCACAGGCAGCATGGTATGGGGGACTTATTGTACTTGTACAGGTAATGGTTTAGTCATACCTTTACAATTACAATCCACACTCAGGATGATTCATATTTATCAAAATAAAATAATAATGAACGCAAAAATGACATCAGAAGACGATAACATTGTCAAATGATGTTGAAAATAAAAAAGTGAATTACCCTTGAAATGTTAAACTTAAAAATAGATATGAATAGGTAACAATCAGCAAATTTCTGTTTTAAATTTATTTCAAGAGCTAAAGAATAGAATATCTTAAAGAACTCAAAATGTCAATTTAAAAAGAATATAGTGAATGGCGTTCAGTGTTGTTTTCTCATGCTGGCATTCAATTTTAATTTTTTTTTGTATTTACTATTTTTTCCCATACTGGTCGGGGACCATCAACCGGACACTTTTTGAACATTTTTCCATAAAGATTTCATAATTTCAAACCTAGAGACCTAAAAATTTGACATAGTACAGCTAGGTTCCTCTCCTAACTAACAAACCAGTTTCACTTTTTCTGATTATATTGACACTTATATCTGAGGCTCGTCAAGGAGGGTATCAAAATTACCTAAATTGTCAACACTACAGTACCATGTGTCCGGACAGATATGTACATGACATGATTTAATTCAGATAAAAGCTTGGGTGTTTTTATTTTTAATATGATATACAATATTTCAGCAACAAATGCTGAAGTTTTGGATATTATATTGTATACTCTGCAAATGATTATAGCTGGTATATGAGGTCAGGCATTCTTTCTTGGCCCCCAAATTTCAATGTCAACATTCTTGAAATAGACATTTAAATATTACCATTTACGGAGGTTGAAATAAATTTATTTACTTAATTTTAGAAGAAACATGCATTTATTGTTGATATAAAAGTGACTGACCACCACTGAACAAAGAAAATTCTAAATTAAGCATTTCGGGGCTGTCCGGGTTTGGTGGTTGTCCGGTTTTGGTGGTCCCCAACCAGTAGTCTAAATTTAGATTTGGATTTTCGCAATTAAAGGAACTCCACTGAGGTCCAAAACATTTGATTTTTTACTCTGATCGGCTTTGTCACTTATAACAGAAAGATTTGCAAAACATTATTAAAAAATATGCCCAGAAATATATTGAAATTTGTATTTTTGAGCTATTCTTAGCCCGATTAAAGTGAAAAGCGTTGTATCGCTTTTCAATTTCAGGTCATTTTTCACTTCTGGAAAAACGGAGTGAACGAATAATCTAATATTGTGCACACAAGTTATATGTCTAGACCTACATCAAATGTAACACGTATCTCGAAAAATTATTTCCAGTCCCATTATGTCAAAAAACCTCAGTGGACAATACAATGAAGATGTAAAAATTAATGTATGAAGTTTTGCTGAACTGAATGTCAGACAGTCGATAAAAAACATAAATACCAGTGATAAACATTATGTATTTATAATTAAGATATACATTTGATTTCAGACTTCCCCAGAGTCACCTGGTATATTCCTGCTTCTGCAGAAAATGTTCAGAGCTCAGTCTGTAGATGAGCTTAAAACATTGGCAACAACTGAACTTGGGCTCTCACCTGAAGAGTTTGATGTGAGTTTTTAATAGTTATAATATATCATTGAAAATTTATTATTTATTCCTATCTTACAATAGAAGTAAATGAAAAATATAAAAAACGAGAAAGTTTTATTGCAAGGAAATGGGAAATATGCGAGAATTTATTTTGAATAATTGATAAATATAAAAACAAAGACTAATTACAAAAACTCTTTAAGCCACTTCTTTTTATTTAATTTTCAAAGCAAACGCTTCTTATAACTTTAAACCTTCTCATTTTTAAGTACAGGTACATGTCAAAATATATTTTATATGCATTGAAAGGAGTATAGCTTGTTCACAAATGTTTATAAGGTACTTGAAAATATCTGATTTTGGTGATATTTTGGTGGCCTTAAAGAATTTTTCTGCCTTTTTGGTCTCAATTTAAGATGACATCAAATTAACATCCAAAGTGGTTTGCTTGAAGAAAAAATAGAGTCATCTGCACTTTGACTCTACATGGTAATCAGATTTTAATAACATAAAATGTCAGTGGTCAATCAATGAAATTCATTGTTTCATGATAAATCTACAAAAGAAACAGCTTAGTCTTATATGGTTGTGGCGTTGGTAGTTTTCACTCTGGATCACACCAGTGAGCCACATTGAATTTACCAGAGTGCAGTTCAGCCACCGCAACTTCCTGGGCAGGATGTAAAGCAGTTTACCAGTACTTGTTGCTTTTACTTTAACAAGGAACTGATAACTTCTGTACATGCCTGAGCAGAATTACAGTGGGAATGACTATAGAAAGAACTTCACAATCAATCACAACGAAAATGACCTGCACTATCCGTCTATCAAACCGGGCTGCCAGATTCATAGTCCAACACACTACCTATTGAGCTAACCAGATGGCTTTGTAATATTTAACAGTTAAATATGTATTAAACATGTACAGATCTTTTCCTATTTCAGGCCATTTTAATCTATGCATCAGGTTTCTACGCTAATATGGGAAACTACAAGTCATTTGGTGACAGCAAATTCATTCCTAACCTACCAAAGGTATATTGTTTTAAACTCATTAGCACTTAACAACTATTGTATTGACGGTATGAAGTGAGGATACTGCCATGAAATAAGATAACATGTATAACCTATTTAGAAGTTTATGGTTTAGAATTGATTTGATAATTGATTCTAGATTATTGATGAGTGAAGGAAAATTTGACTATGCATGCAAAGGTATGCATGCAATGTTATGACTTTATTTTTTGTGCTCTGACTAAAAACAAACTGTAAGTACCATTATTTTGACAATATGAAATATTTAAATGTTTATTTCTATACATTTTGTATATAATTTTTACAAATTTGTCAATTTGTGTAGGAAAAATTTGAAGCTGTTGTCCTTGGCAGTGCTGCATGCAAATCTGACCCAGACAAGATGAAGGCGCTATGGAATGCTGTATCTGAAAGATTGTATTCCCTGGAAAACAGGCAGAGAGAACTTGGACTTGGAGAAAAGGTGATTTTGAATTTAATAATATCTGTCATATGTTATGGTTTGGATCGGAATATTTGGCAAGCCTTGTTAATGTCCAGTGGACTGGTACCCGAGGGACAGATATTTTGATCTGAACCACAGACATATGCAAGATATTTTTTCCTGCCTATTCTGGCATATTCTTTCATATTTTAAATAGTTTACCTCAATAAGATATTTGTTCATGGAAATTTATTTCATTTCATTCATAATTATTTTCTCACATTAGCTTATGAATTTACAACTTTAATAACAACCGCAAAATGACGTTATCATTAGCACATAGTTCCATTCTAAAATGCTGCGAAATAAGATCATTTTAACGTGGTCATTTTGTTTCGCCTTTTCTTTGAAGAATTAAAAAAAAAATGTGTGATTGTGACAATGTGAGCTTACTTTAAAAAGCCAATTTTGTTAATATAGGATTTGATATTTTCCTCTCAATGGATTCATCATACCAAATTTTTTAAAGTTATAATACTGTTCAACGATGATATTTTACCCTACAACTTAGTTTTCAGAAATTATCACCTCAATCATAAGTATATCCTCATTAATGATGAACTGCTATACAATTTTAATCTTATTTCGCCGAAACACTCGGATGCAACTGGATATAATATCGCCAGTTTTTGAAATCCCCGCCATTTGTAAAAGCTCTCGGGCCCGATCGGTTTCATTCGGAATTAACTCATTTGCATACGGAAAAGTTCGGAAATGCTATAATTAGAAACAAGTTCGGAAACGCTATAATTAGAAACGTCAACAAACTTGCGACCCCGATATTAGGAGATATAATATAAATGAGGGATGCAATTTTATTTTATGTTTTGTAATTAATAAACGATATGAAAAGCTATTTATTAGCTAAAGAATGTAGCTTATATCCTCGTAACGCGTTACGAAACAATCGGAAAAAGAACAAAGTCTGAGACTCTCACTTGATCTACAGTAAACAAGAAAATGGAGCGTTGGTCATGTCTATGTCGTACGGTTGCTGTGGTTATTTGAAATCGGTAAATTAGCCTTTCTTTATGATCGCTTCGTACCAGAAATAATACGTACCTATTGCCAAGCTTCCATCGTAGTAATATGGCATACAGTAGTGTGCGTCATGTAAATATTATGAAACACAGACACAAAAGTCTTGGGCTTTGGTGCTCAATCTGTATTATATTATAGATGTTGAAATATGATTTTTTTTCAAAACGGCTTATATTAAGTTTTTTTTTTTTTATTTTAAAGGCGTTTTGAGCTCCAAACCCAAGTGTCTGTGTTAGGAAATTATAATGAAAAGAAATATAATTTGGCAATCTGGTGTAATAACCTGTATAGGGTGTTACCAGATTAAATAACCAGTCAACTGCATGCAAAAGCCAATACATATTTAACATCTACAGACTCAACCGTTTGATATATGATAATGTATACTTAATTATACTTCATTTTATAAGCAAACAAGAATGGAAAAAGGACCAAGTTAAAGTTCTGATGCCTATAATTTTGAAAATGATCACTCAAGACCTGATTTTTATGTTAGCCTTTTGTAAAAGTGCACATTATGGAAAATAATGTACTAATGAGAATTTCATTCCAATACAAACACAGTGCAAACTGTGTAAATATTATTCTGTTAACAATGAACAGTTGCATTCCACTGAAAATAAGATTGCCAAGAATTAAATCCTAATCTCTGGATTATGTACACCGGTATGGCATAAAACCATAAATTTCACCACTTTATGTTCAAATGTTGAATTCTGCTAAAGCTGGTGCTAGGGGGGCATGGAAGGTAACTTGCACTTTCCAACAGGCTCACCAAATAGAGCCTGCAACAGTTTCAATTTTGTCATTTTGGGCTTTCTGCAGGAATTCTTTATTTCTCTATTTTCTGATATCAAATGTACTTTTTTAAAATTCAAATAAGATCACAGATTGTAACAATGTTTTACAAATACCTTTCAATGTTAATTTACACTCAACTTCTCTTAGCATGTTTCAGGACACATTTTGGAATGTTGTTAAAATAACAAAAACACAGATAAATTGAAACATGTATTTGAACATTGGCAGTAAAACAACAATAAAATATTTTCAAATGAACAGCATATATATCTTCTTTTTCTTACTCTTAAAATTGTGCAACAGTGACTTCTTTACAGCTATAGTTTTATTTTTTATTCAATCCATGCTGTCTTAACAGGAAGATAAAGCGTGAAGATGGCCAATATTGTAGAAGGAAATAAATAATATCTTAATTCCAACCAAATTATATGAACTTGAGCTAACCCCTTATGGGTTTCTGGTGATGAAGGATATTATGCTTAAGCCATTGTGACCTTAGACCTTATTAACTCCAAACTAATGCTTAATTACTAATCTAAGCAATGTCCCTGGAAATGTTCAAAACCTTGGGACAATGAGTTTACATGTCACTGAGACCTTGAACTTATAATCAAATGGACCAATCTTAAAACTAATGGCAATCAGAATTTTTCCTTCTGAGTTACATAAACTATACCTTACAATGTTACACATATTTAAAGGAAGTTAAACTTTATGCCATCTTGAGCTTTAAATCTTATTACCTCAAAATCAGTTGGTGCCATTATCTGGGGAAGGGCAATGTTCCTACCAAGCCTAAAAACTTAGGCTTACCCCTGAATGTAAAATATTGTTTGTTCCCCACTCCCGCGACCTACCTACAAATAGCACAGCTACCTAAAATATCTTATTGCCCAGGATTTGTTTACTAAAATGAAATCAGAGTGTCAATGAGAATGACATCTTTTTAACTGTCTCGTGATTTTTTAATTGTAAATATACAAAATGTTGGGAAATTTGTTGATTGAAACTGAAAATATGGTTCTAAATTTTCAAGTAAAACAGATGCTTTCATGCATTCACAATTTGTTTTAACTACATATAATTTTAATGAAAAATAAAACAAGACAAACATTTTGAATAACTAGGAATGTGTCCATAGGACACGGGTCCCCCCTACGCGCCACTGTTCTGTCAATTTTATGACTCTAGGTCAAATATTTTTTGAAAACTAAAAATCTTTTACTAAGTAAAGGGCAAGAACTTTACTAATACTGAATAAATTGACAAGTAAACCCCATAAGTACATATGCTGACCAACATTCTTTTAAACATTCAGGCCTACAAGTGAAATACTTACTGAGCTATGCATGAACAAGTTGAAAATTGTAAATTATTCGATAAATTAAAGTGAACCTGTAGTAGCCACTCCTATATTGTCTTTCTTATTTATATTTTATCCCTGTAGGATATTAATTATGGAGTTAAATGATAAATTATTTATGTTTGGCTGAATAAAATGAAAGAAAACATAAATACTTTTTGAGCTATGCATGAACAAGTTGAAAATTGTAAATTTATACTACTGTAAGTCAAGAGCAATAACTCTAACAAAACTGAAAAAAATCCACATGAAAGTCACAGGTTCATAGCTTCACAGTGATGTTGATCATTATTCCTGTAAAGTTGGTTGATTCTCACTCAAGCACTCAAGGAACAAATAACAACATAATGAAATGTTTTTTACTAAGTCAAGGGAAATAACTCTACAAATACTGGATAAATCCACAAGCCAAACCCCAGGTGCCAAACTAAATATGCTGAGCAACCTTCCCGTAAGGTTTAATGACTCTATGTCAAATCCTTTTTGAGTTACATGTGACACAAGTTGAAAACTGCAAAATTTTACCAAGTCAGGGCAATAACTCTAAAAATCCTAATTAATTCCAGACGAAAATACCCAGATGCACAACTACACATGCTGATCAACATTCCTGTAAAGTTTCATTACTCTAAGTCAAATACTTTTTGAGTTACATGCGACACAAGTTGAAAATTGCAAAATTTTACTAAGTCAAGGGCCATAACTCTCAAAATACTAAATCCAGACGAAAATACCCAGGTGCACAACTACACATAATGTTCAACATTCCTGTAAAGTTTCATTGCTCTAGGTCAAATACTTCTTGAGTAACATGCAACACAAGTTGAAAATTGCAAAAATTCAATGGCAGTAACTCTGAAAATACTAAAAATATCCAGATGAAAACACCAAGGTGAACAACTACACTTGCTGATCAACATTACAGTAAAGTTTCATGATGTGAAATACGGACGGACACACAAGGGTAAATCTAAATGCCCGCCACTAAAGTGGGGGCACAAAAATAAATATTTTATCAGCCCACCTAACCTATCTGAACTGGAATGGGATGAGGGAGTAAATACAAAGATAATTTTAAGGCTTGCCTTTTTTGATTGAACAAGGATTTTATATAAAATGCCCCTATGTCATTGGTCTAATAAACTAGATTGGACTACAAACAATTCATGGACTAATACCAACTAGATCTTCGCGAGTCGGATGTGTTGCCTTGTGAACAATATAGTTCAGGAGAAATGGCCAAGACAAAAATGAAATATGAAAATTAACAAAGGGCATAAAGTTAAAGCCACTAATAGCAAATAGCAAGCAAAGCCAAAATTTAGACATTTAACCTTGAAGGTCAAGGTCAATTATGAATGAAGGCAAAGGTTAGACAATACACCAAGAACTTTAAAAGTTATGAACAAGGTTTAAGTTTGCAGAAGGCAACGGCAGCAACCTCTATTTCTTTTTTCAAAAAAAAAAAAGAAAAGCTGAGCTAAAGTGAATGACATAGTACATGAATATCAAAAGATATAATTGAATAATACTTTTAACTTCGTTACTACATTAAAGCTCATAGCAGCACTTATAGTTTAATAGATTGGATAATATTTTGCACTTGTATAAAAAGCAGTCATTTTTCTGACAAAATATTAAAAACAGACCTTGAGTCATGACAAATGAATCAAGAGAATTTTTTTCGAAACAAGATAGATACAGTGCCATATCTAAAAAGATATTTCATAAAACTATCATGAATACCAGGTGTTCAATGTCAGCTTAAATATGTTTGAATAAATGGGCAATCAGTGTAACACACTATGTATCATTCTTTTCCATAAAAAGTCAATCATATCTTGATTTATGTTCCTCATGAATGGCTCGGGTAGGCTTCGGGCTAACTTGGGCCAAATATTTTGAAAGTCTGTGGGGGTCATCTTCCTCTAACTTTCTATTTTATATATCCGCTCCATGTCACTAATTCTCAGAGTTATAGCATCATGAAAAATGGTATAATGATACTTTTTCTTCTTCTTTAATTCACCCAGACTTGCTGAAGTCTGAAATGAGAAATTAACAAGCCTGTTATAACAAAAATCAGAAGTGTATACAATTCTCAAAATGCATTACATGTAATTATGTCCTCAAAATTTATTAGTCAGGTCAGGTCAGAGACTGCAAAATCTCTTTTGATTGAAATTAATATTATATAGGCAATATAAATGCATAGTGATCACACTTTCAATAAAAATATCTTATAATTCATAGAGGCAGGAATATTTAATACTAAGATATGCAGCATTTATATTCATATGCAAAAATGAAAAAAAAATGTTGAGAATCTATATGCCCAAAGAAGATAAAGCACAACATTTTATTTAGGTTTTGCCTCTTTATATGTTTGAAGAACTGAAATCTTTCTATTGAAATAAACAAAGAAACATGCTACATCCATATTAGACTCAGTACAGAGTACATCTATGTTGAACATTATTATAGTTCCAAACAATTCACTTTATTAACACAAACTGGACACTGTTTTCTTTCATTCTGTAAAATTGTGAAACATTACATGTTGGATTTTTGTTAGTAGCATACCTAACAGATCCCCCTTGTTGGTGATGTATGGTCTATTTGCATGTATATTATAATCTATGGCTGCAAGAAGATTGTGCGTCCTATAAACAGGTGGTGTGTAAGCAAATCTTTTGGTACAATACATCAAGATGTGCTGTTGAAACCCCTACATGCCAGCTGTACTTCTAAAAATGAATACAAATAATGGAAAGATATTTTCATTTAAATGATTTTAGTAAGGAAAAATCCTTTAACATTAACATATTCATATGCTTGATATAATCTCTGTATGTAAATAATTATCTTTGAAAAGATTTTACACAGCTCTATCCTTCAATTGATTAGTGCAATAAAGGTGCCAATTAATTTATACATAATGGTTGTAGGTCCATTTGCGTTAACATATAAAGATGCTGTAAACATTGAACATTCTATAATCAATAGACATATGAGCTTTGTATTAATCAGGACATATACTCCTTTCCAGTTAGGAAAATAAATCCTTTTAAAAATTTCACTCTAAACTGCTAGCATATCTTAACAAAGATAGACATATCTCCTTTGCAGAATTAATGGTTCCAACATAGGAGCCATTGGCTTCAACCTTTTTGATTGGCCAATATCTGGTGGTGCAAACTAAAATTGCTCCAGGGGGAACCCTGTCAATATAAATTTCTTTTATTGTACCTGATGAGAACATACCTGCAGTTGAGATATTATGTCATCTTATTCAGAACAACAGCCAGAACTTTCAGACTATGTGCATCTTATTTCCTTTGCAGCCATGGTTTATTCTGGTTTCTAATGGGCCATGATTGTACTAGGCATTGGTGTATTCCATCATCTGAAAACAGAATCCATTCATGCTCAATAACTATAAGATTGATGCAGACACTAAAATATATTATTCCCTGAAATAAAATATCAAGACAAATAAGCATGCATTAAAAAATGGCAAAGAAGTCAGCCTTCAACAAGTTTTATGAAACATTACTAAGCATTTCACATTTATTTTACATATAAAATGCTTACCATAAACCTATGAAGTATTCCACATTATGCATCAAAACATCTTGCATGCATTAATTTTCTTGCAACAAATGACAATTATGTATTGCTATCTAGAATTTTATCTAAATATTTCTTAAGCAACAGAATAATCATATAAAAATATCAAACATTTAAATAAAATCAAATATATAATAATTGTTTACTTACCATGAATAGTTTATAGTCTGTAGCAGTTTTATAACTAAACCAGAAATGAATGGTTGTGTCTCAATTCAACTCCAAAAGGATTTTATTGGCTTTCTTTAGTGCTACCTGAAGATTAAACCATAACTTGCTTAAGATTTAGAAGAAAAAAAATCAATTGTGGAATTCCTTTTCATTTTAGCAAAAAAATATTCTACATAAGAATTGTATATATTCAGTCTTCACCAACATTTACTATAGGACATGAATCTGCCCTTGTTATTAACAACAAATACAGCAGTATTGCATGCAGTGATAACACCAGTCTATTAAAAATTCTTTGTTTAAAAGGGATATAACTTAAAAAAATATTGCTTTCACAGTCATTGAATTTAAGATTTTGAATTCACTGGCCCCAATTCCAGTTTTGAATTTATTCTACTATATATTTAACTACATTTTCTTAAAATTTACACTGGCCCAAACGCATTTTCACTGGCCATGGGCCACCGGGCCAGTGCTAAATTCAATGACTGCTTTCATAAGAACATGTATGCTCCCCTGTTTAACAATTACACTTTGTCCTGATAAGCAAGTCTTTCAAGTTTCATGTTGATACATTTCAAAATATTTAAATAATGCAATTGTATGCCAACATAGCAATCTGACATAGAATGTAATAGCTTTGAAAGAAAAAAAGAAGCTAGTAATTCATGATGTTTGATTGTAACTAAGAAAGTATACTCCACTTTTGAGGAATCTGTAACTATTTTGTTGTATGGTCTGAGAATTGACTACATAACAGAATCCTTTCCAAAAACCATATATGAGCCTCGTCACGACAAAACCAACATAGTGCGTTTGCGACCAGCATGGATCCAGACCAGCCTGCGCATCCGCGCAGTCTGATCAGGATCCATGCTGTTTCTCTACTTGTTATAGGGTTTGTAAGCGAACAACATGGATCCTGATCAGACTGCGTGGATGCGCAGGCTGGTCTGGATCCATGCTGGTCGCAAAACCATTATGTTGGTTTTGTCATGACGTGGCTCATATATATTTTTTCACAAGTGGATTTAAGACCTATAATCGTCACCTTAGTGCAAGAACTCAATATCTGCTTCTTTATCTATATGCAGTTATTGAGTTTTTGCACTAAGGTGACGTAATGACCCTTTATTATTTTTTCACCTCAGTGAACAATTACCTATAATAATATTATGGAGTCATACAAATTTCAAACTCATCATTTAAGATGACACCAAAATCTTTCAATTGGACCAAAATTAACCATGTAGTGCATGTTTTTTTTTTCTTCTTCTAATACAGTATTATAATTTATATGCCACTTAAAAAATGTCATTATTGTTTAATATTTAAATCATATGAATATCTGATCATGATATATATGGATCACATGTTGACATGTATATATCCATTAATTGGTTCAATAAACTAATAAAAAAACATGAATTCAGCAGTATTTAAGATTAATCAGTTTTTATATGAATTATTTAAGTAAATTAGTTATGCAAGTATATAGTTACATGTGTATATAGCAATTTTGAAAGGTATTATTATAACCTGTCACTTTCAACAAAAATGGTGTACTTACTCTCCTCTGCATATGCACTGAAGTCCAGGTCATCTTTGATGTCCCTGGTAGTGGTATTGCAACACATGATGACTATGAAATTGATTTATTTCTGTAATTGAAAATATAGCATACTAGTACCATGGCCTTAAATCTTGACTATTCAAACCAATTACAATACATGAATTGCTGCACTGCTTATAAGGAAGAAGGGTTGTCAATAAGAATTATCTAACGTTTCCAGCACAATTATGGTTATTGTCCATGATTATTTTTCAAATTGTGAAATGCTGAAATTTTACTGCAAAAATGATTCAAATGAGACAAAATTATTGATTTTTGTGCGATTTTCTAGACAACATTTTATTTTTTCTACTTTATTTCTATGAAGATTCGACAACCCTGGATAGTAGATCAATATATCAGACTTACGGGCTTGTTATTGCTTAAATGTCGGTCAAGGTTGCCCAAAAGCAAAAATATCTCAAAATCAAAGGACGTCACATTTATAGGACTACCCTTGATAGTTGAACATGCTTTGAAGAAATGCCTGTTCTGCTAGTCAATAGTTCTAACCCTTTTTGAGACACATGTGGCTAATCTATTTCACAGCATTGTAGTTACTATACAGTACAGCTTACAGTAAAAAACAATAATGTGATTGGAAAATAAAAGTTATTCAAAATATAATTTTGTTGTGTCTTAAATGATTGTTAAAAGATAGTGATTGGCCATCTTAAACAATATTACAATGGTTACAATGAACATACGCCATAAAATTGTAAACGATTAGGCTCAGCCGATCTTTTATTTAACCTGTTAACAATAACAATTTATTGGTACGAAAATTACAGTGAACGAAAACTTGATACACGGACGTGGATCTGCAAGCTTAATTTCTTTATCATAAGTCAAAACCATCCTAAAAACTATAACACAATATCTGTGTTTATATATTCGTAGGTGAAATTTTTCTATAAGTAGATCTAAGACCAAGAAAAAATTAAATGCAAACAAAAACGATGATCACCTCAGCTGTCAGTGTCAATCAGATAACAACTTCACGGTCGCTTTTGGTTTTAATTACCCTTTTTAGAACTTTTCGTCGCTTTGAATCACTACCGGAGTATATCCTTGATTGAATTAAATCACAGTTTCTTTCCACTTTTCGCTTTTTCCTTTTCCAATCTCAAAATTTATTTATCGTATACGTGACACACCTTTCGTATTGTCCGCCATTATTTTGGTTTGGTAAATCATATCACGTGACTCAGATCCGAACATTTACGGAAATAATCGAAGGGCTTCCCGCCAAAATATAAATCTTATTTGACTAACCCAGTCAAATAAGAAAATGCATTTTTTAGAATGGTCAGAAATGTTACGGAGAGCGTTTCTGAGTTGGAAAACTTTGTCAATACTAGTTAAATAATGCATTTGATAACAATAAGGCGTTAATTTGACAATCTGTTTTGATGAATTTGACCAGGAATATAACTTTAAGTTTATATTGAATTTTTCTTTGAAATTGCATTTGAAAGTGAATATATGAATATAGTATTAAATTCTAATTATCTAATTATCTTAAAAGAATACATGGGAAAATATCTTCAGATTGTCAAGTTAGTGTACATTTATGCCCTTGATTGAATATACATTGGTAGTATTATTCATTGTTACATGTTTCTGAATTATCTATGTTTATTCACAGGGAACTACCACATATTTCTCAAGCAACTGTGACTTACAAGATGCAGAAGTAGCTCAAGAATTCCTTACTGCGAAGAATCTCAGTGCCTATAATACCAGACTGTTCAAAAAGTGTGCGCAGGGATCAGGCCCTGTTGAATATGAAGTTAGGCTGGCTTCAGTAGAGACAGAAAGTAAGTTTATTATTATTGAACAGTGAGTTTTAGCTAAGTCATTTTTCAGGGCTCATCATCCACTTGACTGTTTAACGGAAGGGAAGGGCTATTCTCTTCACTGTCACTCAACATAACACTTTAAGTTATATTTCTTTTGTATTACACCTTTTCACTGACTCTATTGAGGTATTGATATGAAACTTATGGTTTATTATCCCCCGCCGAAAAATTTCGGCGGAGGATATAGAAATAGTCTCCGTCCGTCCGTCCTTCCGTCCGACATTTTTGTCCGGAGCATATCTCTAAAAGTATTTGAGTTATCAACTTGAAACTTCATAGGTGGATAGACCTCATTGAGGAGGAGTGCAGTGCACAAGAATGACAACTCTACCTTGCTTGATTTTTGAGTTATTGCCCTTTGTTATTTTTCAAAATTGATTTTTGTCCAGAGCATAACTCCAAAAGCCTATGAGATATTAACATGAAACTTCATAGGTGCATAGATCTCACTCAGGAGGTGTGTAGTGCATAAGAATGATAACTCTACCTTTCATAATTTTTGAGTTATTGCCCTTTGTTATTTTTCATACCTAATTTTTCACCTGAGTGGAGCATAACTCAAAAGTGTTTGAGATATCAACATGAAATGTCATAGGTGGATAGATCTTATTGAGGAGGAATGTTGTGTGCAAGAATGATAACTCTTTCCTATTACAATTTTTGAGTTATTGCCCTTTGTTTTTTTTTCATGCTATTTTTGTCCAGAGCTTATCTCAAAAAAGTATTTGAGGTATCAACTTGAAAACTTCAAAGGTGGATGGATCTCATTGAGGAGGAGTGCAGTACTTAAGAATGATAACTCTACCCTGCATTATTTTTGAGTTATTGCCCTTTGTTATTTTCAAAATTAATTTTTTGTCCAGAGCATAACTCAAAAAGCCTTTGAGATATCAAAATGAAACTTCATAAGGTGCATAGATCTCACTCAGGAGGTGTGCACTGCACAAAGAATGATAACTCTACCTTTTATAATTTTTGAGTTATTGCCCTTTTGTTATTTTTCATACTTAATTTTCAATTCAATATTTTTCTCAAAAAGTATTTGAGGTATCAACTTGAAACTTCATAGGTGGATAGATTTTACTGAGGAGGGATGCAGCACACAAGAATGATAACCTACCCTGCATTATTTTTCAGTTATTGCCCTTTGTTATTTTCAGCCATCAGTATGCACATAGGTTTCAAATCTGTAATCACTATAGCCATCAGTTTTCATTACCAAAAGACCCCTTAAAATGGAATTATTCTGCTCTACTACATATACATTCTTCCAATGAGCAAACACATTCGGCGGGGGATGGCCATGTTGACATGGCTCTTGTTACTTTTATATCCACTGGTAGTCAAGGGTACATAAATTTACTTCCCTTTTTTACTTTAACCTGCTTTTATTCCACTATCAAGCACTGAGAATAGTGGTCCTTGCAGTACATAGACAGTACATGAGATGTTTTTATAAAAATAACCTCAACCTGAAAGCTACAAAAGAATCTTAATTCCATGAATATGATATCAGCATTTTGTTTTTCATCTGAAATTAGTCAAAACCTCTGCAGAGCAACCCCATTTGGGTGACAGAGATTTGTTATATTTGGGAGATGTTTCTCTAAAAAAGATGAATATACTGTTAAATCTTAATTAAGGAAGAATCAGTACTGTTGTTGTAAAGAGTTTATACAGAATTTATTATGCTCCCCGAAAAATTTCGGGGGAGCATATAGTCGGCGCCTTGTCCGTCTGTCCGTCCGTCCGTTGTCTTGTCCGGAGCATAACTTGAAAACCCTTGGAGATAATTTGTTGAAACTTCATACAGTGGTAGAGGGCATTGAGGGGGAGTGCAGTGTCAAAGAACCATAACTCTATTTTACCCGGTTTTTTAATTATCTCCCCTTATAGAAAAATCTTGTCTGGGGCATAACTCTAAAACTATAAGAGATATCAACATGAAACTTTGTAGGTGAATAGATCTCAATGGGTAGATGTGCAGTGCATAAGAACAAAAACTCTTTTTGTCCTAATTTTGGAGTTATTGCCCTTTGTTTATTTTAACACTTTGAACTTTGTCCGGAACATAACTCTAAAACTATAAGAGATATCAAGATGAAACATTGTAGGTAGATAGATCTCATTGAGTAGAGGTGCAGTGCAAAAGAACCATAACTCTGTTAAGCCTCATTTTTGAATTATCTCCCCTTTTAGAAAAATCTTGTCCAGGACATAGCTGTAAAACTATAAGAGATATCAACATGAAACTTTGTAGGTAGATATATCTCAATAGGTAGATGTGCAGTGCACAAGAATCATAACTCTGTCTTGCCTAATTCTGGAGTAATTGCCCTTTGTTTATTTTTACTTTTTGAAATTGTCCGGGACATAACTCGGAAATCATAAGAGATATCATCAAGAAACTTTGTAGGTTGATAGATCACATTGATTAGAAGTGCAGTGCAAAGAACAGTTACTCTGCCTTGCCTAATTTTGGAATTATTGCACTTTGAACTTTTTCCAGGGACATAACGCTGAAACTACAAGAGGTGTACTTTCTGTGTCCAAAACCTATTCGGGGAGCATCACCCGGCTCAAACCGGGCTCTTGTTTTAGTTTGATTGTGTAGGAAGCTATAAGCTTATAGACACACTTTCAAATCTGTTCCTGGAACCAACCAGTACTGAGCAATGAGTGAAAAGTTTCTTGCTCAAGGAAACAACGCCCTGTCCTTTATAGGGTTTGAACCCATGCGGCTAGCGATCATTAGATTACTAGTCTGATGCCTTAACCACTCGGCCATGCCCCCATATGAAAGATCATGTAAAGAGTTAAATGCTCTGCAGGCAGCCACTTTTGCATTGATACAACATGGCTCCATATTTATTATTTTCAAAATATAAAAATAAAACCTGTGATATAATGTTTAATCTTGATAAACTTTTATAGGTCATTGATTTGGATATATTTTACAGATGGACCCCTACCTGGTTGTCCAGATGGTATGTTGGGTAGTCACCAGTTTACACCAAAAGGCTGGTCCACTCCAGTGACATTCCATGTTACAAGGGGTGATTACTCTAAACTGATGGCCCATGTAGCTCAAGCTTTGGAAAAAGCAAAGGTAATTTGTCTTGAAATAACTTTTTTGATGAATTAAAGAAAATGAGTGTAGTTTTCAGCAGCTGTGAATATAAATGATAAAATGGTCACAGTTAAGCATTGTAAATTGACGTTACAATTGTGCAGTATTAAAATGAATTTACAGAAAGCGAATGATAGATATATATATATATCTTGCAGATGATATTCGCTATTTCATATCAAGTGGATAAAGGCAATTAAAAAACAACTATAGTGTAAAGGTGATATAAATAATATATTTTTAGAGTGCTGCTGCCAATGATAATGAGGTAAAAATGTTGAGAGAGTATATAAAGAGTTTTAAAACGGGGTCAATACCTGCCCACAAAGATGGTTCAAGGTACTGGATTAGAAATACAGGCCCTGTAGTTGAAACGTAAGTTTATTAGTTTTCATTATGATAAGATATATCAATCAATCATTTAAGAGTAAGAGTTCAGAACTAATGGTTGGGCCTTCATGGTCAAGCGGTAAACATTGTTGACTTTAAATCACTTTCCTCTCAATGCTGTCAGTTATATATAATCTTATCAGTCAGTGTCTTTTGATTCTATTGGAGGAAGCTATCTAGTTTGCTTACATAAGGTTGGTGGGTCATGAAAGAAGTGTTAACCTCCAAAGCTGAAAAGTTGGCATATTAAGAGTTGCAAAACATATTTGCTTGTCTTACCTGTAAAACTATAATAAATCATAGCCAACACTCTTTTAAGGTAGTTTCTGTTAGGTGTACAAAACTTTTAATTTGCATATTTAATCATGTTTGAGTTTTAAGATTTTGTTTGTATTGATTTTAGTATAACTGTTTTTTTTTTTTGGTCATATTTAGGTACATAGGCTTTATTGAATCATACAGAGATCCCTTTGGTGTGAGAGGAGAGTTTGAAGGTATAATTATTACATCTTTTCTGATGTCAGATTTATTTCCCCTCACTGTCTATGAGTTTTCATCCTAACAGTAGCATTGAATTATGTCATGTCAAAAATCTATATAACAGATGTTTTTTGGTTTTACTCTGGAACCTGTATGTTTCTAAATAAAGTGTGTTGTCACCTATGCTTGTCTACCACTAGTTAAAAAGTTGTTATATGACTTGGACCAAGAAAGCTAAAAAAATTAAAGAAAAAAAAAACAACAACAAAATGCAGTATTTTGTAAAGTTTATATGCTTAAATTTGATAATGTTCAAGAAGTATTTGCATGGACAGGATTTTTTTTTGTAGATGCCACACTGCCATCCTTAGTGAGGACTTTGGTATAATTATTAACTTCTAAATTCCATCCCAAGTGAGGACTTCCAACCTTGTAGAAATGAATTATGACCTTTGACCTTATTAAATGTTAGTTAAATAAATACAACTATATTTTCTACAGGCTTTGTTGCTGTTGTGAGCAAGGAAATGAGTGCGAAATTTGGTGCACTGGTAGAAAATGCTGAACATCTACTGGCCAAGTTACCATGGCCACAGTCCTACGAGAAAGACAAGTTTCTCAGACCAGATTTCACATCTTTGGAAGTGTTAACATTTGGTGGATCAGGAATTCCAGCTGGTATCAACATACCAAATTGTAAGTATAATGTACGGGTGTCAAGGTTAGCAAAAATGCTAACCATTTGAATGGAACCTAATAGCCATTTTAAACGGTAAACTAACCATCACAAAAAAACATTTTAACTTTGTTTCTTTATAACAAGATATGACATTTAGTTCTGATTTTATTGTGCTCATCAAGATTACAAAAGAGTAATTATTTTCCACTAGGACTTTACCATACACAATGAAAACACAGGTCTGTACATCTTAATTAAAAACAAAATGTCTGATCTTATCATAGTAAAACAAAGGTAATATATAAAACTTTTTAAGTTATACTAACCTCAGTTATTGGTTATTGAATTTTCTAACTGGTTTTTAGCTCGACTATACAAAGTATATGGAGAGCTGTCCTACTCGCCCCGGCGTCGGCGTCTGCGTCCAGATTTCAGATTAAAGTTTTGGTGCAGTAAAATATTTTTCACTATAACTTTGTCATTTCTTAAGGTATCAACTTCAAACTTCAAATATATGTTCCTTATCATCAACCACATCTTATGTGACAAGGTTCATAACTCTAGCACCAATATTTTTAGATTTATCTCCCCTTGAACTTAGAATTTTCCTTAAAAAATACTATTTTTTAATGTTACTTCTTTATTTCTTAAGGGAACAACCTCATACTTCAAATATATGTACCTTATCATCATCCCCATCTTATGTGACAAGGTTCATAACTCTAGCACCAATATTTTCAGATTTATCTCCCCTTGAACTTAGAATTTTCCTTAAAAAATACTATTTTTTACTGTAACTTATTTATTTCTAAAGGGATCAACTTCATACTTCAAATAAATGTACCTTATCATCATCCACATCTTATGTGACAAGGTTCATAACTCTAGCACCAATATTGCAAGAATTATCTCGTCATCAACTTAGATTCTTTTACTAGAAAAATGTTATTTTTTACTATAACTTTTTTAGTTTTAAAGGTATCTACCTCAAACTTCAAATACTTATTCCTTATAATCAATTATATTTTATGTGACAATGTTCATAACTCTTGAAGTAATTTTTACAGATTTATTTCTCTTTGAATTTAGGATTTTCTTTAAGAAATATTATAACTTTGTTACTTTTTAAGGTATCTACTTCAAACTTCAAATATATACTTCTTATCATTACATACATGTTGTGTGACAAGGTTCATAACTCTAGCGTGACTATTTCTAGACTTATTTACCTTGATCTTGGAATTTATTTTAACAAATGTTATTTTTTTACTATAACTTAATACATAATTATACATAATTGATTTTTCTTTCATAGTTTTGTCCTCCTTACTGCGTCCAGTATTTTATTAGTCGAGCTTGGCTGTCTCCTGTGACAGCTCTTGTTGGTTATAAACCAACTAAACCCATTTAAACAGATAAACGTGACTCCCCTGTATTTATTTGTCAAATAATTATTAAAATTTTAAAAAGTTTGAAGATTTATTGATATACCTACATTTGTAAGCTAACATCTGTTTTACAAGTAATGATTAAAAGCAATATGCCATGGGTAAATTAGATTTATCTATACCAAAAATTACAAGCTTCAAACACTTAATTATTGTTTACAAAAAGACTACTCTTAATGCTTTTGATATCTGTCAAAGCAGTCTAGTTAGACCATATGCATGTAGTAGTTAAAACGAGTTTTGTAGAGATGGTACAAAGTTTTACATATGATAAGAATAGAATCTGAATGTCTTTATCTTGCTTGCAGATAATGAAATTCGTCAAGATGAAGGGTTCAAGAATGTATCTCTGGGAAATGTACTAACAGCTGGTTATAAGGATACAAAAGTTACATTCCTCTCTGATGCTGACAAGGTGGGTATCATAGTGATTGTTGTTTCATATGAGAGCTATTAAGGTAGCATTTGGAATTTGGAAAGTCATTGGTTCTACTCATATACCTGCTTGTGCCAGAAATAACGCAAGAATCATGCCAGAGTACCTATAATTTAAGAATAATGTTTGTAATTTTATGTGACAGGGAATGACATGTATACATTGAATCACTGACAAGCACTGCTTAAAATAACACCAATGGAATATTACATACAATAATGTTTTATTCTGTTAATTTATGATACTTGTGTAGTTTAAATAATGTTGTTTTTTGTGGGGTTTTTTTTTAAATATTCTTTGAAAACAATATGATTATTTTGTTTTTGGAATTAAACAGAGTTGCTATATATGACCTGAAGAGCATTGTCACTCTTTTCTACCCTCTCGAAAAAAAATAAATAAGGCAAAATTTTTATTACATTAGTTGCATTTTATGGTCACTGAAAGAAAAAACAAGTGTAAGTTTATTCTTACATCTTCTATTATCAGGGATGTTCAGTATATAATGTAAATAGTCTTGTAAATATTAGACAATAAACATCAGAGATAAGGTCTTTTCATTATTTATTGATCACCCCTCGTTAAACTGGATATCATTTTGTTTATATAGGAGTTGTATACCAAGTTGAAGATACCATCATTTGAAGTTCAAGTGGGACTACACGAGTTACTGGGACATGGAAGTGGAAAACTTTTTCATCAGGTACTTTTTTTATCATAGACATCTTTGGCTGAGTAACTCTTTTCCGTGTTTAATTTTTGTAGAGAAAAAAAACATATTGCAATGATGTATTGTTACTAAAAACTTTCAAATTTATTTCAGTGAAAGGCTTCGCGTCAACAAATATCTAATAAAGCAATATAGTGTTAACAATGAAATGCACAAGAAGTAAAAATTTAACAATACACATTTTATGATTATAAATTGCAAGATATCAAATTCTAAATTTTAGATCTTTTGATTGATTATAGTGCAGACTTAAATTTTATACTAGAGTCTACCTGTCAATAAAGACCACTCCTATTTTCTTTTCAATGGTCTTTCTCCAATATTCCCATATTTTACTAACTTTTCTTAAACTAAATGAGATTGAAATATATCAATTATGAAAGAACTTAAGCAATACTTAGCAAATTAGATTCTTTCATACACTTTAATGAGAACTGTATTTTTTAAAAGATAATTTCTAGTATCATTTGTGTTATTATAGGATGAGAATGGAAAGTTTAATTTTGACATTAACTCAGTGACACATACAGAGACAGGTGGAAAGGTTTGTAACTATTTAATGTTATATTTCTAGTTATGATTAACATTCAAAATTCTGGACGTTGTAAACTTGGTTTGAGTCTGTACATGAGGTATAATGAAAGAGTGCAGCATCCCTCATGCCCCTAGCAACGGCTTGAGTGGTACTCAGATTTCAACAAATCAATGATCCCAAAGGACCAGAAAAATATAACAACACTCATCACTGATGAGATCATTTTAGCCATTACCCAACTGAAAATCAGTCAGCACTGTTCACTTTTTAGTCAGTACATATTTTGAAATTATCCTGAAAAAAAAATGAATGAATGGTTTTGTTTTGATTGTTAGATGGACAAATTCATCTAAAATCATCTGGTCTTACATGATCAGTCTTTTTGCAAAGCTAGAGTAATTTTGAGGAGAAAAACAACAACCCATACAACGTTTTTTAATGCTGTTATATTTGTATTCCTTTTGTACTTAAATTTCTTGTTAAATAAAAAACAGGATAGAACCATTGCAAAACACTGTTAGGACACTTGCATATAACAACCTGACCATTAAGTTGGTATGTTCATTTCTGCAACATTTTCTCATATGTGCCACTAATACCACAGGTTACTAGTTGGTACAAGTCGGGTGAAACATGGGACAGTAAATTTTCTACTGTGGCGTCGACATATGAGGAGTGTAGGGCTGAATGTGTCGGACTGTATTTATGTCTGTCTACAGATGCACTGAGGTAAATCTGATACTTTATATATTTCACAGATAGATAAATGGTACAAGGCTGGCGAGACATGGGAAAGTCAGTTTTCCACTATTGCTCCCACATATGAGGAATGCAGAGCTGAGTGTGTCGGAATTTATTTGTGCTTGGCTACAGAAGCTCTGCGGTATTTCTTGTGTTGTTGTTGTTGTTGTTTGTTCCTTTTGTAGTACACTCGAGTATGAGGTGCCCACAAGTCTGCTGTTGTGATTGTCTTTTATCAGTTGCATGTTGAAACATGTATAATTGTATTCTTAATTTTGTTTAAAGAATATGTTCTCCCTAACATTGAAGTAGATTTACTATACCAATTTTTACAGGAATGATTGCTCGGTGTTCCTCTTTAATAGTTAATTAAATGGTATTAGACTTATGCGTAAGTAGTTATTGAAGCTGAAAAAATACATTTTTAAAGATAAAATAAAATCTTGTCAGAAAGTACAAAGTCCAGATCTTAAAATATTTAGTATGTATTATTGCCTAGTGGTCCTCAACAAAGTTTTATAATAATAACTCAAAAATAGCCCCTGCTTGGAGGTTTGGTCTTTCATAGATTTGATATGTGAAAAATAAAACAAAACATTTAAATCTCTTCTAAAACTACATGGCCCAGAGCTTATATGTTTTGCATTGAGTAGTCCAAGTGGTTATCTAAAAGTTTTGTAAATCATGGGGTGAAAAATATCTCTTTCCTAGGGATAACCTTATATGTGGAGCAAATATTTGTATGCTCAGCTATACTTTTACTTTCTACAATAAAGAGTAATGCTATATATTTGATTTAAGGTATATATTTTATAATCAGAATTTTAGGTTAACTTTATTTTTAGCTCGACTATACGAAGTATATGGAGAGCTGTCCTACTTGCCCCGTCGTCGGCTTCAGCGTCCTTGTCCAGATTTCAGATAAAAGTTTTGGTGCAGGAAAATATTTTTCACTATAACTTTGTCATTTCCGAAGGTATCAACTTCAAACTTCAAATATATATTCCTTATCATCAACCACATCTTATGTGACAAGGTTCATAACTCTAGTACTAGTCCCGTTAACTTAGTTTTTTTTACTTGAAAAATGTTATTTTTACTATAACTTCTTTAGTTTTAAAGGTATCTCCTTTAAACTTCAAATACATATTCCTTATCATCAACCAGATCTTATGTGACAAGGTTCATGACTCTTGAAGCAATATTTTCAGATTTATCTCCCTTTGAACTAAGAAATTTCTTAAAGAAATATTATAACTTCTTGTCTTTTTAAGGTACATGTATCTACTTCAAACTTCAAATATATATTTCTTATCATTACACACATGTTGTGTGACAAGGTCCATAACGCTAGTGTAACTATTTCCAGAAATTTTCCCCCTTGAACTTGGAATTTATGTTAACAACAATAACTTCTTGTTATAAGAAGAAATAAGAGATATATTTATATCATAATTGATTTTTCTTTCATAGTTTTGTCTTCAATACTGTGTCCAGTATTTAATTAGTCGAGGTTCACTGTCTCCTGTGACAGCTCTTGTTTCCTCATGTAATCTCATTATGCTGTGATAGGAAAAAAATTGATTTAAAATACAAAATCAGATCAAGCGTTGTGATTAAATGCTTTATAATATAGGCTGAGATGTTTAATCTTAATTGGATGAGAGATGTTTGAAGCCTGTTTTTGTTGTCGAAATTTAAATTATACATCAACACAGTCATGCTATGCAAAAATATTATCTTATATTTATTACAGGATATTTGGTCATGAGGATGATGATGGGGATGACATTGTCTATATAAACTGGTTAAACATGGTCCGTGCTGGACTTCTAGCCCTGGAATTCTACTTTCCCGAGACTCGTGCATGGAGGCAAGCTCATATGAATGCCAGGTAAGATTTTGACGTGAGTTGTAAGAGATAATCATTTAGTTTATGCAGCATTTATTTATGTTTCAGTGAGAAGGCAACTCTAAGCTTATAGATTTTTACAGCATTTACAGTTCACTACTTGGCTGTGCCAACACATCATAATATTAATAATCATTGATAATAATCATTTGAATGTGAAACGTCTCGTTGTCATGTTTGCTAAATGTTGCTGACCTGGAAACATTTCATTTTATATGATATTTTGATTTCTACCATGATTTTCATGGTTGTTAAATTTTGCTGACTTAGAAACATTTTCATTGCAAAATATATGCACGGCCGTGCAATACCATATTTACGGAGTCGCAAAATCGGCACGGGTGTGTGATAAAAGTTACAATTATTTGTTCAACTTTTGAACTTTAAGAAAGATGAAAATCTAAAGCTAAACTTTTTAAGCATAAGTACAGAAAGAAAAAACTGAACCAGTCTGTACATACATGTATATCATGCCAGGCTAGTTACTGTTTCTTACTCAAATTTGGTAATATTATATGACACTTTCCTTAACCCTTTCCCTCCTGGATTAGCCATTGCCATCTGCATAGTCGGGCCAGCCTTCACATTTTATGCAGTCTGACCAGGTTCATTACTATTACTGACAAAATTTTCATCTTGATATCCCTAAAATTGATAATGGACAGTTTCAAAAATGAACCTGGACAAGTCCATTAAAGAAATTTAGCATTTCAGGATATAATAACAAATGGACTGTTCCAAAATCATAGCACGGCAAGTCCATTATATAAATTTACTAGGGTAAGGTGACAAACAAAATTACCTGTTACAGGTTTGTGATACTTCGTGTACTGCTGGAAGCCGGTGAGGACCTCGTAAAAGTTGAGAAGATAAAAGGTGAAGATGGTAATCCAGATATTCGTATAACCTTAGATAGGTCAAAGATCATCTCTGTGGGTAAACCTGCCATTGGTGACTTCCTTAGAAAACTGCAGGTAGGTATATGCTTAACACCAATACCAAAGAGGTATTATTCATACTTTTTGAGTGAAGAATTTTTCCCTTGATTTACTTTATGTCAAGATTTGTGAAAATCAGAGGATAAGTTGTGTTTGTTTTCTGCGCTATTTCATAGGACCTGAAAATCAAGAGTTTTACTTTTTTGACATGTATCAAGATATTTTATGATCTCAAATTCATGAATTAAGCAAATGTTGCATTTAAAGGCTGGAATAGGTAACACTGTGAGAAAAGCAAAAGAAATAATCATGTCCTTATTATTACATAGCCTCTTGAAATTTTTCAATCCTTTTTTCATTACATGTACTCGTATGGTATATTTTATTTAATTAGAATAGCTTTATATGTTATGTTATTTGCTTTGTACCACTTACCACTAAAAATTGAGACATAGCCTTTATTTAATCATATTAAATTTTTTCTTATGTTTGTAATGTATTGTTATTATAAAAGAATTAAATATGATGTGTTATTTATAAACTATACAGGTATACAAAGCAACAGCAGATGTTAAAAATGGCAAGGAAATGTATGACAGATACTCTGATGTACATGATAGTGATGAACCACATTTTATATCCCTCCGAGAAATAGTTCTAGCCAGAAAGCAGCCTAGAAAAATGTTTGTGCAGCACAACACATCATTATGTGGAGGTTTGTTTATTTTGGTTGTCATGGTTACAGTTACCTTGAAATTGTCACTGTGACCTTCATAGTATGTTATGTATAGATTGTTGTTTTTTTATACTCATTTTATTCCATGATTCTTTAATAAAAAAGACAAATTGAGGTATGCTATTGCTGTTCAGTAATATTTTGTGTAAAAGCGCCAATGGCATTTTAAGATTTGTTTCATTGAAATACAATTGCTTTTTGGTTATCAGTACCATTATAGTGATTCAGTATTTTGTATGGAAGTTAATATACCACTTAGATTACATTTCGCTATCTTAAAGGCATTTTATTTCACATTCAGCACTAATTTATTAAGGTGATAAGCATCTAACATGCTCTAAATCCTTTATTACACTATTATAAAACACATGTTTGCCCTTTCTAAAAAAGAAAAATTGACCTCATTTCTGTTAAATTTGCCTTGAAAGTGTTTTGTAACTTAAAACCAGAGCAAAAAAAAGAATGAAATGTTGATAATAGGTTTCTTCTTACAGGAGATGCATTTTAACACTGCTGCAACTATTCAAAGTGATTGAATTAACAATGTATAATATTACTCACAGGACAAGGTTTACAGTAGATCAACTCCTGAATTTAGAATATTTGGGTTTTTACCAGCTAATCATTAGGTACAAACAATCTTTTACAGTTACAGCTTCAAAAATAAGTGCAACAGGTTGATTAATCTATTTTGACGGGTAGTGAAACGTGAAGCTATAATGGTAAAAGTTTGTTTGTACCTACAGATTTTTTTGTTTGTTTGTTGAATTGGGTTTTACGTCACACCGTCACAGTATAGGTCATATGGCGATGTTCAAGCTTTACTGGTGGTGGAAGACCTCCGATGCCCTTCTGTGCATTATTTCATGTTTTACGTCACACCGTCACAGTATAGGTCATATGGCGATGTTCAAGCTTTACTGGTGGTGGAAGACCTCCGATGCCCTTCTGTGCATTATTTCAGGCACTAACGGGTACCTGAGTAGAAACACCGATGTTCGGTAAGCTAGCTGGATAACTTCCTCACATGAAAGAATCCAAAGTCCCTGTCGGGGACCTATGGATTAGCTGGGAAAAACCCACAATTGCCGAGTTCCTGATAACATCTTTTTACACAGAATGTTTAGTTGTGAAAATTGTGGCTTATTTGAAAATTATTAAGAAGATAAGCAATGAAACAAATATATGTAATATGATATGTTTCTGGTATAATTTTAGATGGCAGCATCAGCCTAGAGAGTTACGAGGCTAGTCCAGCAGGTCTGATCAAATCCTGGGTGGATAGATTCCCTAACTCTGATGTTGATAACATTATCGAAGAGCTGTGGAACAAGGATAAGCCTTACTTTGAATAGGAGATACAAACTGATGGCGGAAAAAAGGAAAGAATTGTTAGTGAAATTAAAGAGACATTGAAATAGTGAAAATTTAATTAAAGAGACATTGAAATAGTGAAAATTTGGTTGACATTTGAAAAGCATATGTATGAAACTGTTAAATTCTAATTATGTTCTAGGGAATGGCATGCACTAAATAAAATATTATTTTTCTAACTTACAAGTTACAAATAACTTATCAGAATATATTGTCTAACATTTAATGTAACTAAAATGTATTGTGTTACATTAAATATTTATGATTAAGGACATACAAACTTTGTTGAAAATACACAAAAAAGGATTGTTAGTGAAATTAAAATGAGACTGAAATAATGAAATTTGATAAAGAGAACACAATGAAAGAATTGTAAGTGAATATAAAGTGACATTGAAATAATGAAATTTTGTCGACATTAACAAACCATATGTATGAAACTGTTAAATTAAAATTATATTCTGGAGAATTGCATGCACAATAACAAATTATTTTCTAAACTTACCAGTAACAAATTACTTGCCAGAATGTATTTGTCTAACATTTAATATTTATGATTAAGGATGAAAAAAAACGACACAGGACAGATCTGTTAGTGAAATTAAACATTAAGATTGTGAAATTTGGTTGACATTGATAAAGCATATGTATGAAACGGTCAAACCATTAAATTTAGATTATATTTTTTAGGGATCTGCATGATTCAAATTATTTTTCTAACTTATCAGTAACAAATCATTTACCAGAATTTATTACATGCTTTTCGGTGGTTTATAGAAATATATCAGTGATATAAAACTGGTAATTTCACTCTTTGAAACAGTGAAATTACCACTTTGATAATTTCACTGTTTTGAATTTAAGCCCCTTACGTTGTTTCAGTGAAATTCCAGCGTGCACAGTACTGGGTACCAACTTCATGACGTGACGTCATAAATGACGTCACGTTGTATTATTATTTGGCGCGCTTTTCATTAAGTATTAGGTTTAATGTCTTTTAAAACGTTTCTTTGCATATAATAAAAAGAAAATTTGTTTAGTTTAGTGTAAGATCCAAATATATTTCACCTTGTGAACACCAAAAGTTCATATTTCACTCGTGGCTGCGCCACTCGTGAAATATACCTTTTGGTGCTCACTCGGTGAAATATATTCCGATCTTACACTGAACTAAACAAATATCCTCTATGTATTATCTAATATTTATAATTCCATCAGTGATTCTGTTTACTTACAAATTTGTTGTTAGGTATAATAATATTATTTATAATGTTGTTTTATAACAGAGGAATTAAACAGAATTTATCATATGTCATGATGTCTTGTTTATCAGTTTATATGCTTGTCTTTTATGTGTACAGTACTGTAATTTATAGAATTTATGGGAAAAGATTATTTGAGCCAAGCCATGACAAAACCAACATAATGTGTTTGCAACCAGCATGGATCAAGACCAATCTGCGTATCGCGCAGTCTGATCAAGATCCATGCTGTTCGCTTACAAACCCTATAACAAGTAGAGAAACTGATAGCGAACAGCATGGATCCTGATCAGACTATGGGATGCGCAGGCTGGTCTGGATCCATTCTGGTCATAAACACACTATGTTGGTTTTGTCATGGCGAAGCTCATTTTTATTAAATATTTATAGTGTTTAAAATGGTTTGGGTAAGTCGTGCATAATGCTATGGCTAATATATAAAACAATGGCAGAAAAGAAAGTGGGTGAGGAATGGTCTGATAATTATTTTACAGTGCTGTGGCAAATATAAGATGAAGGCAGAAAAGAAAGGGGATGTGGCATGGGCAGGTTCTTAAATTTACATCTCATAAATACGTTAAAATAGTTTATAAGCTCACAATGCAATTTCATTTACAGTTCATCCTAGTTTTGTTTTGCTATTTGGCAATAAATAAATTCCATTAAATTATATACTACTAACAGAAAACTGACATACCTGTATGCAGTTTGATGGTCTGCAATTTAACTCAAAAGAAGTTTGAGCCAACGAAGTCAGCAATCTTTAGATTACTAGTCCAACGTGTTAACTACTCGGCCACGCCACTCTTTCTTTATACTTAACATTTAAACTTCTGATTTTTATAGATAAGCCCTGTTTGATTTTTGAACTGCCCGTCCGAAGTGTATGGGTATCAAAATGCAAAAAAAACTATCAATTGTACACAGCCTGGTCAGACTGCTGCATTGATGTACAGACCGGCCTGGCTCTATATTGGTGTCGTAGGCTAATCACTTTGTGTCCCAGCAGGTTAAGGGTTGAAAGTAACTGAATTTATTGTTTCCCTGCACTGCAGTTATCATCTATAAGCTTAACATAATTAATAGGAGACCTTTAGCTATAAGAATGTTAAAATGCAATTGTGGTAACAATGATTACAATCGTGGTTACATTGACAAAAAGGTAATTACTTAATAACCCTGCAAAGTGACCTTTTCGAAGCAAGTTTCTCTGCTAGCCATTTTTGTCATGTTGGGTTGTGGTGGCGATTGCCTCTCAATCCTAGCTTGTGGATTTGAACCTTTACTGGGGTAAGGTTTTCCTCCTATGACACAAATACGGGCTAGTTCCGAGAAACTATCATGTCTAAAGTGGTTCAATTAACCTCCTAGTTTTCATCATAATCGAGCTTAAACCAAATTATGTTTCCACTAATTATGTTGCAATCTTTACAATAATTAACTAACAAATCTGCTAGAATGTAAGTAAAATATCATCCTTGACGATATCCTGAATTTTGTGTAATGGACTTTCCTTGCTTTAATTTTGGAATAGTCCATTAGTAGAGTAAGGGATTTCAGTATGGAAAATAATAAAATTGAGCAGTAAGGGTATGATGCTTTATCAGCAGGGGATTGGTCAGATTTCAGAGATATTAAAAGTTAACTCACTTCATTTTATTGATAATGCTGATCGGTGTATTAATCTTCCTTAATACATTACATTATATTACAGTACATAACTAAATTGCAATTTTCTCATATATAATTTTTAATATACGAGATTGAAATGCGATATTATAGTGTAGAATTATTCAGTGGTAAGAAATGTCCTTTAAAGAAAAGTGCTTGAAGCGATGCATGAAATGTCAATTCTGTTTCACCGACATACCTAAATTTTAATAATGGCCTTGTCCTGATTTCATTTTTGGAATAGTCGATTGTTGATTTTGGGGGAATTTGATACGGGCGTCTTGCAGTGCTATGCACTTTCGGCATATGAAAGTCAGTATTATTGTCGGTTACAAACGAAAATTTTATGAAACAGAAACGCATTTTTCTCCATATGCATGGAATTTAAGTATGAAGAGTAATATACAAACAGCATTATATGTTGATTTTTTTTGTGTGTGCACTCTACAAGAGATTTATAGTAACTCAATGATTTATATGGTTTGAGTTTCAATGGCTTAATATATTTTACTGGTAATTTCAATTTGGATGTAAAGTTCATGTTATATTTAATGTTGGAGAATATTTGTATACCATTAAGTATTATTTGATAGCTTACATGATAAGTTACCTTTCTTCTCACACAAAGTGATGTCCAGTACCTTTATATTGACCTCTGCTTAAAATGTTTTGTACTCTAGATCTATGGCCCTTTTTTTTACTTAATTCAAAGTATACATTACATTTATTCCGATGTCAATCGACTGTTTCCTTAACGTTAAAAAATATAATACAGTGTCGTCTGCTCCATCGAGCTTGTTTCCTGTCATCGGAAAACATTTTCACTTGATTAAATAATACACTGAAGCAAAAAAACACTAAAATAATTTTGCAATTAACATCAACAGGAAAATGCGTTAATTTTATTCTGAACTGATCATATGATGTATTATTCATATTGTGAGGATTTTAGTTCCAATACTGTCCACCCACGACAAACAAATTAATACTGCTATTCAATATCGTCAGCGTTCCTGACGGGGGTACAAATACAGATCGATGCATGGCAATATGAGTACTCGTGATCTCTTACAGGTGAAATTAGCGTCAGCATAAAATGGTGACAAGGCAACGGTTAAATAGTTCATTGTTTCTGAGATTTAGACCAATTGACCATCATGTGTCAAAAATGTTACCTTATCCCAAAATGCCTGTATAGTTACCTCCCGTGAAGTTCAAACGTATTTTTACCTTGCTTGGAATTTTGGCAGATGTTACTAAAAAATTCAAAATACTTAAAATAAAGTCCCCCTCTTAACGCAATATATTGACTAACTATTTAACAGTCAGACCAACTAAATGTTTTCGTATTTTACTATGCCTGAACCTTTGAATGAAATTTTTTACATAAAATTACGGACTTTAGTCCAATTAATTGTCAATTAAAGTCTATTAAAGTCCGTGATAAAATGAACACCTTGGGTGTCTTTGTGCATTCATTCTAACGCGAAATAAGAGAAATTTTTGTATGAAAAATTTAAAAAGGAAAAGGAAAAAAGGGAAAATGAAACACTGAAATACAGGTTATCAAACATGACCGCACATAATTTCACTCATGTTTGAAAACTAACCAGCTGTTTCCTGGAAGGTTTGTGGAATGCCGCCATATGACATTTTCAGTGTAGATGTAACTTTAAACTCAGCCAAACACAGACGCACACGCACGAACCTCTAGTGCGTTGATGGGCAGGGTACTTTAAACAAAGGATATATAGTTTTGGCCTAACGCGGGGGTGTACATCATCGACCGTTATTTGTAAACTATGGAAAAGGTCAGCGTCAATTATTCAACAATGTTTCGCGGAAACTCCAGTGAGCATCACACTTAGTATGGTATAGGTTTTCAAATACAGCGCTTACAATGTGATGAATTCGTGATATATTTGCCTTTTGCAAACGACAATAATTTGAGCAGACGACCACTGGGAATTCGTCTTGTCTGAAATTTTACATATGAAATCCCCGTGGACCATTTTCCTGTTAACCTTTACAAAGCCGTAAGCGATTTAATTATTACATACCGCCATTAGAACAAACTCCATCGGATTACTTAATAAAACAAAAGGTCACTATGAAGTAACTCCATGTTACCAATTATCGTAAGCGTCAAAATATCCCTGTAATTCCTGATTTATTTTTCCGTTTATTTGGAAAATTTCATATCGTTCTTTTGTACTTCAATTCACAGAACTAGGCCAAAGATACAAAACGCTTTAGTCAGTAGTTGCTTGCTTGAAATTGAATAAAGCTAAGACAGACATGCACAACCATATCCTCTCAGATACTTCTAAATAAGAACACGATTTACCCGATTAGGCGAAAGAAATGATCATAATTTACAATCGGAACTGCTAAGATTGATGGAATCATTTTACCAATAATAAGCAGACGAACCTATTCCAAAACCGGTCTGCTTCCTAAATTTATTTGAAAAACACGAACACACGCACGCTTGCACACACACAAAGAGTATTTTCACAGATGAAAAAAGTGTATATCTATTCATTTTGTATAAAAGTTGAGCAGACCTATAAAGTTAAGCATTTGTTGAACATTTCATTGCATATACTGTCTTTCAGGCCATTTAAGCTGCATTTACATTTATAAATTACTTTGAAAAAACTTTTAAGAACATTTAATATACATGTTACATTAATTATCCTTTTATCTTTAATGTTCACCACACATCTGGTCATTTGGGCAAAGCTATGTCCGCTGTTAACGTCTTCTATCAGACCAATGGCGTGTATTCTTGATGTTCAAGGTCAAGGCTATACATTAGTATATGTAAATTATAGTGCCTCTGTTGGAGGTCAAGGACATCTACGAGTAAGTTTATTACATTACCTTTAGTATGTAGGCCAAGGACATGCATGTTTATTACTTTATCTTCTGTCTGGACGTCAAAGACATGTATGATTGTGATTGTGACCCTCGTTTGGAGGTCAAGGACATGCAGATTTATTACTTTGCGCAGAGATTTAATGTCGAGCACATGAATGTTTATATATTTTTTTCGCTTGTTTGGATGTCAAATATATATATGTTTATTACTTTGCCTTAAGTAGGGCAAGTACGTGCATGATTATTTCTTTCTCACCGTTAAGTAGGTCAAAGACACGTGTTTGTTCATCTTGTTGCCGTCTCTTAAGTATGTCAAGGACAAACAAGTTTATTACTTTGCCTCTTGTTAAAAGGTCAAAGATATGTAGCAGATATATTTGCTGAGCACAAGCACCTTTTTTTAGATATTGTTTACTTTGCCTTTTGTATTATTTTGTTTGTCTGTAGGATGTCAAGGGTTAGCATGTTTATCATTCCGTTTTTCTGCAAGATCAAAATAACAGAAAAGGCAGAAAATAACAGAAAAGGCAAATAAAACAAACAGAAAAGGCAATAAATAACAGAAAAAGCAAAGAATTTAATTCAATACAAGTAAATCATTGTGTGGCCGATTCATTCCTGCAAAATTAGATACCAAATTTGCCACCAGAATATATTCAGTTTTTCCAAGTAACCAAGTGCACACTGTCTTGGGCATATATTTGATAATGACATTGCTTTAAGGTTGCACACAACTAATTTATACCTCAAAATTCTCACGCCAAGTTATTTATTTATGATGTGTATTTTAATGTTAAGGTTATTTAAATTTAATTATTCATGTCAAGATTAGGAAAGGAAATAAAAAGTAAATTCTAAACTTGTATTCATAACACATTAAAGAGATGGATTTTTCATTTCATTTGTGAGAAACAAAATATCATCTACACTTATGACAAAGCTATCAAAAATAAAAGAACGTAAGAAAAAGAAAAATTCTCCAGTGAAAAATATATAGCACAGGTAACTATGCAGACATGAATTTCATTACATTTCGTACAATTTAATCTTGTGAATATATTTTCTGCATGTTTCACATTGTTTTCATTCTTTCATGCCCGTTTAATTCATTCATCTGTTATCACAGTAAAGAATATTCAGATCACGTTGCGGAATGATAAATTTCGCAGTATTTCGCTGCAGATTTAGTAAATGTCACCTCGGTAATTAATGTGTAAACATTGCAATGAAACAAAATACACATCTTTATCATTTTATTTGTTTTTTATGATACAGGCTCCACTGTACTAAATGCTGCATATGCGTAATAGAAATGAAATCTTACAAATTGGTTCAAAGTGGATTCACATTTTCCATAGGTATTTCAAATATTGATAAATACAATAGAAATTTATCATTTGGATGTTTTTATGAAATATTTCTTGTAAAAAATGTTGAAATAGTTCTAGGTGATTTCGTATAAACATTTATATGATGAATGATAATATTGTATTCTAAAACAATTTATTTCTTGCTAAATGCAGATATGTAATTTCGGATCATATATCTCACACTTACCAACAACATTATATGAGCCGCGTCACGACAAAACCAACATAATGCGTTTACGACCAGCATGGATCCAGACCAGCCTGCGCATCCGCGCAGTCTGATCAGGATCCATGCTGTTCGCTTACAAACCCTATTACAAGTAGAGAAACTGATAGCGAACAGCATGGATCCTGATCAGACTGCGCGGATGCGGCTCAATTATATAATATATAACATATATATAATATAGAAAATTATAGAATTTTTTCGTGATTTGTTGCCATGTATGACAACATAATTATGTATGGTATTAAAAAATTTAAATTATGGAACAATGGAATGATTCACTTTAATGAGTAACAAACTTGAAAAGTGTACGAAATAGGTGATTTCACCTGGATAAAAGCACATACTACCCTTTAAACCGAAATTTCTCTCTCTCCGTTAGTAACGGGTATTTCAGTGACAAAAATAGTAAATATTGACCATCCATTTTCTCATTCCTATGCATGTCCTTTATAGAAAGGTTTGCCTGTATCCCTACTTCCTCTCTATATAAAGAATGAATCAAATCCGTTGAAAAAAAAAATAAAACAGTCTAAAGTTTGATAGCATATTATTTTAATCTAGACCATCAGTTTTCGGTATGCGGGTCTATTATTTTAAATCATCATAAATTAATATTAATCAGATTCACGACTTAGATAATCGTCACATTACGTTTTGGTTTGTTTCATTTGAAAAGAGGTGTATTTAGAAGATGGCACTCTTTCTGACAATTACAGGCCTGATATCTTCTTTATAAAGATGATATCTTGTTATGTTTGATGTGGATATTAATATGTCTGGTATAAAGTTAAGTGATATTCATTAATTAGAGTGTCAGTCGAATAAGACAAAGAGTTAATTAGATAATGCAATAAGTACGAACTTTGGTTATTATTTTATATAAAATTCACGTGCGTAGCTTCTAGAGTCTTTATAGAATTTACCGGCTTATTTAATACATAATCATTTTCATTTTCTTCAAAAATAAATAAATAAAAATAAAAAAAATTAAATAAAAATAAATAAATAAATAAAATAAAATAAAATAAAATAAAATTAACGTAAAATAAATAAAAAACCAAAACAACAACAACAATAACAACAACAGAGAACAATTCTTGAAGCTATTGCGAGTCTGGTCCTAATTTTGGGAGTCTTATCGTGATTGTTGTGAGTCTGTCGTGATTATTGGGATTATTGTCGTGGTTGTTAGGATTATTGACGTATTTATTAGGAATCTGGCTGTGATTGTTAGGAGTCTTGTCGTGATTGTTGGGATTTTTGCCCTTGATTTTTGGGAGTTTTGTCTTTGATTGTTGGGAGTCTTGTCCTTGATTTTGGGGTTATTGGCGTCATTGTTGGGAGTCTGTCGTGATTGTTGAGATTTTTGTCCTTGATTTTTGGGAGTCTTGTCTTTGATTGTTGGGAGTCTTGTCCCTGATTTTGGGGTTATTGGCGTCATTGTTGGGAGTCTGTCGTGATTGTTGGGAGTCTTGTCCTTGATTGTTGGGAGTCTTGTCTTTGATTGTTGGGAGTCTTGTCCTTGATTTTAGGGTTATTGGCGTCATTGTTGGGAGTCTGTCGTGCTTGTTGGGAGTCTGGTCCTTGATTTTGGGAGTCTTGTCTTGATTGTTGGGAGTCTTGTCCTTGATTTTGGGATTATTGGCATCATTGTTGGAATCTTGACGTTATTGTTGGGAGTACTGTCCTTGATTATTGGGAGTCTGGTCCTTGATTGTTGGGAGTCTGGTCCTTGATTGTTGGGAGTCGTGTCTTTGATTTTGGGGTTATTGGCGTCATTGTTGGGAGTCTTGACGTGATTGTTTGGAGTACTGTCCTTGATTATTGGGAGTCTGGTCCTTGATTATTGGGAGTCTGGTCCTTGATTGTTGGGTGTCTGGTCCTTGATTGTTGGGAGTCTTGTTCTTGATTTTGGGGTTATTGGCGTCATTGTTGGGAGTCTGTCGTGATTGATGGGATTTTTGTCCTTGATTTTTGGGAGTCTTGTCTTTGATTGTTGGGAGTCTTGTCCTTGATTTTAGGGTTATTGGCGTGATTGTTGGGAGTCTGTCTTGATTGTTGGTAGTCTTGTCCTTGATTGTTGGGAGTCTTGTCCTTGATTGTTGGGAGTCTTGTCTTTAATTGTTGGGAGTCTTGTCCTTGATTGTTGGGAGTCTTGTCTTTAATTGTTGGGAGTCTTGTCCTTTGATTGTTGGTAGTCTTGTCCTTTGATTGTAGGGAGTCTTGTCCTTGATTGTTGGGAGTCTTGTCCTTGAATGTTGGGAGTCTTGTCCTTGATTGTTGGGAGTCTTGTCCTTTGATTGTTGGGAGTCTGTCCTTGAATGTTGGAGTCTTGTCCTTGAATGTTGGGAGTCTTGTCCTTGATTGTTGGTAGTCTTGTCCTTTGATTGTTGGTTAGTCTTGTCCTTTGATTGTTGGTAGTCATGTCCTTGAATGTTGGGAGTCTTGTGTCCTTGATTGTTGGGAGTCTTGTCCTTGAATGTTGGGAGTCTTGTCCTTGATTGTTGGTAGTCTTGTCCTTTGATTGTTGGTAGTCTTGTCCTTTGATTGTTGGTAGTCATGTCCTTTGATTGTTGGGAGTCTTGTCCTTGATTGTTGGGAGTCTTGTCCTTTGATTGTTGGGAGTCTTGTCCTTGAATGTTGGGAGTCTTGTCCTTGAATGTTGGGAGTCTTGTCCTTGAATGTTGGGAGTCTTGTCCTTGATTGTTGGGAGTCTTGTCCTTGATTGTTGGGAGTCTTGTCCTTGATTGTTTTGTTAGGAGTCTTGTCCTTGATTGTTGGGAGTCTTGTCCTTGAATGTTTGGAGTCTTGTCCTTGATTGTTGGTAGTCTTGTCCTTTGATTGTTGGGAGTCTTGTCCTTGATTGTTGGGAGTCTTGTCCTTGATTGTTGGGAGTCTTGTCCTTGATTGTTGGGAGTCTTGTCCTTGATTGTTGGGAGTCTTGTCCTTGATTGTTGGTAGTCTTGTCCTTGATTGTTGGTAGTCTTGTCCTTGATTGTTGGGAGTCTTGTCCTTGAACGTAGGGAGTCTTGTCCTTGATTGTTGGGAGTCTTGTCCTTGAATGTTGGGAGTCTTGTCCTTGATTGTTGGGAGTCTTGTCCTTGATTGTTGGGAGTCTTGTCCTTGATTGTTGGTAGTCTTGTCTTTAACTGTTGGGAGTCTTGTCCTTTGATTGTTGGGAGTCTTGTCCTTTGATTGTTGGGAGTCTTGTCCTTGATTGTTGGGAGTCTTGTCCTTGATTGTTAGGAGTCTTGTCTTTGATTGTTATGAGTCTTGTCTTTGATTGTTGGGATTATTGGCGTCATTGTTGGGATTATTGGCGTCATTGTGTTTTTTAAGCTTCTATGAGGGTTCGGAGCTTTGTCGTCATTCTTGTAGTATTGTATTTATTTATACTTTGGATTCTTTCATGTGAGGAAGCTATCCAGCTAGCTTACGGAACGTCGGTGGTTCTACTCAGGTGCCCGTTCGTGCCTGAAATAATGCACGGAAGGGCACCTGAGGTCTTCCTCCACCAGTAAAGCTGGAACGTCGCGAAATGACCTATACTGTATCGATGTGACGTAAAACCCAAAACAAACAACAACAAAAAATATAAAATATTCTTCGCAATTATTGTTCTTCGTCAGTTCTTGATGAGATGGTTGCAATTTTGAAAATGATTAATTTGGTGTATTGATTTAGAATATTTTTGATAGCAGAGATAATGAATCTGAATAATTTGGTATTGAGTTTTGGTTCCTTTGTTCAAGCATACTTTCGGTTTCAATCTCAAATTAGTGTTAGATTGTCAACTGCAGGAGGGCTAGATCTATTAAACTTTGAAACTTTAAAACTTAAGATAAAAATGAACGATTTGTGAATGGTTTGACGTTCAATAAACAATGCGTCATTTAGAACAAAGATATGTGTTCAATTCGAAATCTTTCGCATTGCGGTTACACTGTTGTAACGTATTTCATAAACAAATCTTCACCCCACCACGAGCCCATAATGTCCGACTACACCATTGACTTTTGGCAAATAGTATTATTTAGATCCTGTTATGGTGTACTATAGCGCCGAACTGTCTGGGAATTCCAACGGAAATAGTTGACATTGCTTCATGTAATCGTCAGTACCTTCTGTAATAAATTAACACTTCATGATTGTGAGGACTGATATTTTAATAATGATGTGACCGTTTTAACTGAAACATGATTAATAAGATTTCCGTGATTTAAAAGTACATACAACAATACAAAAACTACGTGACTTGATTTAATAACGGGTAGATGGTTTAAGGGTACGATAAATTCACACTGGTATCCTTGTATAAACTGGTACCTTTTTTTACATAATTATATTTCTAATCATTTTGACTGACGCCACATCAATTTACAATTCAATTAAACAATAAGATAGTGGGCGTTGATTGATTAATCATTTAAATTCATCTTCCTTTCTCTTATTCAATGTCCTTCGTTCATACACGTTTTGTCCTCTTCCTGTGTTGGTTTTTCTTTTTATTTCCCCGTTCGTAAATTACTTCTAGCATTCTTTTCTTCTCATCGCCTGGTTGTTGTTTTATTCCATTAGAATAATTTTGTCCAATAATTATTTGTTCGTTTGTTCTTTTATTCGCCAGTTATCTATGCACTGTTGTCAGATAGTTATCTCACGAACACTCTTTATAACTCTGTAATTACAAAAATGTATATTAATTCAGCACTTTGTAGGTTTCCGATGTTATCAAAGATATACCTCTTTCTGTGAATGATAATATTACTAACGTAAAATCAAAGTTTGTAATAATACGACAATTACACGATTATCGTCACGTATCGATTCGCTTCTGTAAGGAATATCGAAATCGGATATAACGCAACTTGAAATGTCGAACTCGAACTAGAAAAGTCGGTTTCTAATTTGACGAACAACGTCAAGGGTATGTCGAACTGGAATATAATCAACTCGGAAAAATCAAACTCGGATATAAAAGAAAAAAGCACATGTATATGGAAACATCAAATGTCAAACAAAGGCCTTAACAATATTTGTATATGTATGTACAGAACAGTTGTAAATGTCTGTTTCGTTATCCGTGTCTATAGTAAAGGATGCATTCTAAGTAGTAGCAAATAAATATGACAAAAGTGTAATAAATTCTTTATTTCATCTTTCCGAAAGAAAAAGGTGACTTCACATTATATTCAAAAGTAAAATTTAATGTCGATTCGTTTTAAATTCGAAATTGGTGTATACATTTTTATATCATAATTATATATATCAAACATACAAAAAACATTTCAACATTTTACAAATTTGGGAAGACCATTTATCAAAATGAATTCATAAAGACATAATATGTTTTTCTTTATCTATAATTATTTTTAATGAAAGAATGCATGCACATTTGACATTTATTTTTTTTACAGTTTAAGATATCTGCATGATTTGCTTTTAGCTATATGTGTGCTTATAGCTTAACCAATTATCAAATATTTAAGATAAAATTTTGTGAACATATTTGTAATACCGAAGCGTTTTTTACTAACTAACATCAAACGCCACGAAGTCAAATTTAATTCATTTTAGCAAATTGATCGTAAACATTTTCTTATTTTTTTCAAACAAATAACATATTTTCATGTCTACAATGCACTGTAGAAGATTATGTTATCTGCTGAAATCGACGTTTAACGTAAATCGATTAAGCAGACGACATAATGTCGTCTGGAGACACATTTTAACAACCTGGCCATATCGGAATATCAGATGTTTAAGATATGCTTTTTTATTTTTTCAATTAAGCATTGATAAAAAATAGTAAGTATTAAAGTACTATTACAGTAAATTATTGTCTATGCAAGCCACCTTGCGTCAGTAATCTTTGTCACGTCTGTACCCCCCTGAATTGCACTTATGCTAATTTTTAAATGCAAAATCATTGAAATCACTGATACAATTATTTACATTTTGTATGGAAAAAATGTTTGTATGACAAAGCGTTATGCAGGGAGAAAACGTAAAAAAGCTATTTAAACAACCATAAGTATTTTGGGATCACGTGACATCAGCAATATTTTTGTCAACATTATAAACATGTATAAAACCTACTGGTTTTTTTTTAAAGAAGACCCTATAACTATATCTTTGTATGCATTATTCAAGTACAAGCCGTAAGCATAAAGTACAAGTCAGTTTGTATGAAAACTTGCAAACAAGAATGGATTTGTCTTTTCCAGAATTGTTGGTCTCTCAGAGAAAAGATGTATTTGGTCCAAATAATGCCAGAATATTGTAAAGGGTCATAGATGGACAATAAAATGTATATATTATTATGTATACATTTATGTATCATGTACTTGAATAGCATTCAACCCACTTGTTCTTCATCGATGTAGGATCGAGTCCCACCAGTCCTACCAGGGACTCTTACATGTGAGGAAGCAGTCCAGCTTAGTTACGAAATATCGGTGGTTCTACTCAGATACCCGTTCATGTAAAAAAATGAAGTGGGGGGCAACCCTGGGGGTAATAAATGAGGGGGGAAATTCTGAGGTGGTTTTCTTCCCATAAGAAAGCTTGAAAGCCCGCCATTAAACCTTTAAAGGGGCCTGGAAAGGGACCCCCCCCCCCAAAAATTTCAACAAAAAAACCTTTTAGGGGAATTCAGCACAAACAAAAAAAAAAAATTTTAAGGTTTATTTATATTCCAAAGGTTTTGGGATTAAAAAAAACTCTATAGGGGGGTGTTTTCAAAAACGAAAAATTTTAATTAAAAATTTTGGGCCCATTTTAAAACAGATAAACTTAAAGAAAATCAGTTCAAAAAATATTTTACGAGGCCCTTTGCTAAATTTAAACATGTTGGTAATATAAAATGTTTTGAAACAAAAAGTTTCCCCCAAATAAAAAGGGATTCTTTATTTTTTTTCACATTTGTATTTTTTCTATTGTAAAAATGAATCAGGAATGCGAAAAAGACAAAATAATGTTGGAACAAAAAGAAATAACAAAAAATTTTTTTGGGTTTAAAATTTTTGAAAAAGAAAATCTTTTTGTTAATAAATTTCCCTTAAAGGAGCAGGGCCCTGTGTCCGGGTTTTTTTGAAAACAAGACCTCAAAACAATTTCGAACAGTAACCCTTCTGTTGTTATTTTTTACCATCTGATTCGGTGCGTCAAAACATGAAGCTTTAAGATAGTTAAAAGAACCCCACGCGAGGAAGGACAGGCAAAGGTCACGGGGTTATCATCTGATGTCAATAACAGAAGCTTTATAGATCTTAACTAAGTCAACATAATTGATTATAGAGATAAAAGATACCGCATTCCTTAAAACAATGCGAGCTGTATTCAGTGGTATTCGGTGTTTTTTTTAGACAGTTCAGTTGTATTGTTAAAGCTGTGTTCTGTTTAAAATTCAAGACCTGATTACAAAACGGAAGCGCACATTCATACGTGCATGCAAATATTTTTTGCAGTCGAAATATTTTACATTATACATGTAATAACATTACAGAAATACAGGTATTTTATTGGCAAGGTCCTGTTCAGGGTTAAGTCACAGTTTGAGGGGTGAGGACGGGCAGTGGGTTGTATGTGGTACCTTTTTTCGGTTGATCGATTGCTTGGCCGTTGCGGCCAATGGACTCTCATCCATATTCCATCTTTAATGTTTAAAACAATTGGCGTTAGCAGGGTTAGGTCTCTGTACATCTGCATATCAAATGGCTTTGCAAATAGCGTAAAGAGGAAATGCGTCTATCATACTTTAGCACATATACAATGTATTATTACCCATTTTTACATACATAATTATTAAGAAGTTGATTTTTGTTCTGTTGTATTTGAATTGAATTTCATGCCACACCCGAAACACCAAAAGTAAAGAATACAATAATTTTATGTAGCCCACCGCCACTTATATCTATTGCAGGACCTTGAAATGCATACCTTTTACATCCATGATAATAATGAATTGCTACGCACTATCTTATTTACCTGTTATGCTCTGTTATTCTAAACAGTGACAGAAATAAATTTCTATGCAGTTTTCTGTTAATTTGTTTACTTAATTAAGTAGATGAATTGCTTTCAGTCACCAGGCTAGGGTGTGTTAGGTACATTTATCTTCCTGTTTTTTCACAATGTCTGGAATATTTCACATTCATTCATTGTAGTAAAGATGATCTGGTTACACCCTGTACCTGCACGAGAATCACGTGCATATGTTTGTTTCTCAAGCACTTGGCATGCATACTGAAACAGAAGGATTATCCGACGAATTTAAATCATCTGAATTCTATTTATAGTAAGTTTGGTTAAATATGTGGTTTGAAGTAAGGTCTTTGAGGGCATTTGGAAATATTTTAAAACAAAACAAATACAAGCATAGCTATCTCTTTGTAAACATGTCAATAAATTCGCACATGATAATTTCAGAGGAAAAATCTCCTTATTTCGCATATTTCAATATGCACACTATTATTTCATTATAATTGTGCATTATTTCGCACTTGATGATTCTATTGTTAATATTCCATAATAGTAAGTTAATAACCATTTTATTAACATCTCTAACGGTCGTTTCGTATCAAAGTGGATAACCATGTTATTTATTGTAATCTTGCAGAGAGGGTGGTAACTCACTAACTTAGTAACTAACTAAGTAACTAACTAAGTAACTAACTAAATAACTAACTAAGTCACTCACTCACTCACTCACTCACTCACTCACTCACTCACTCACTCACTCACTCACTCACTCACTCACTCACTCACTCACTCACTCACTCACTCACTCACTCACTCACTCACTCACTCACTCACTCACTCACTCACTCACTCACTCACTCACTCACTCACTCACACACTCACTCACTCACTCACTCACTCACCATCTCACGCACTCACGCACTCACTCACTCACTCACTCACTCACTCACTCACTCACTCACTCACTCACTCACTCACTCACTCACTCACTCACTCACTCACTCACTCACTCACTCACTCACTCACTCACTCACTCACTCACTCACTCACTCACTCACTCACTCACTCACTCACATCACTCACTCACTCACTCACTCACTCACTCACTCACTCACTCACTCACTCACTCACTCACTCACTCACTCACTCACTCACTCACTCACTCACCACTAACTAACTAACTAACCAGAGCTGCATTGCCCCAGCAAGCCAGCCAACCAACCAACCAACCAACCAACTCACTCACTAAAAAATGTTCAATCGGAAAATACAAAATGTAACTAATAATTTATGTTACAATTCACAGGCAGTGAAAACCAGAAACTGTGCATATCGTACGCACTGTCAATTAGTAAGTTAGTGTTTCTGGCAATCTAGGCAACGATGAAGCTTAGTAAATATTAATGTTCTATTCAATGATAGTTTTCAATCAGATAAGCTCCATCATATACCCTAGACCTGGCATTTTAATACTCATTACTTTGCTTTCAATGTGTGTTGTCTCCATTTCTGACAAATTGCGGCCATTACAATTATCTCGAATTTTTTTTTTCTAAGACGACGATTTAACCATTTCATTTTTTCTTTGTTCTCTGAACAAATCTTAAACTGTCTAGACCAACCGAGACCTGCAATTAAGATCAGGTGATTTTACAATAGTAAGTTAAAATAAAAAGATAATTAAAAAATAAAAATGGCAATATATGTCATATAAATCTTTGATTTTGACATAGAGTGACACAATTACTACAAATTGGAAAAAAAGAAACAAAGGAAAATATTGCTGTTATACCAGTATTATATAGCGACCCGGCATGATCTGAGCTAGGGGAATAAATCGCGTTTATACATCATTATGTAAATCATAAAATTTGACAGAATTAATAGCATACTGATAGATATGGAATTCAAAATTGTACGAGAAAGTAGGTTCACTAATTGAATTTAATTATGGGGTTTACAAATTGCGCGTCAGACTACGATAGGTAAAATCGTGTTACTATCATATTTATGACGCCATTGGCACATTTAATTGAGACATTTTCTCAGATTTAATATCAAACACGAAGAGTTTCATTTTAACAAGCATTTTTTGCTATTTGTTAAAAATGATTTATTGCCACTACTCAGACAGACCGTGTCAAAATTAACAAACGTGTAGCGTATTTAAGAGAAAATAGTGTAAATTAATACTTCTCTTTACTATATTGCTGAATTTACAAACGTATTGCGTAAAATGTGGTCTGAAGTGAGGTTATCTTTTTTATTCCGGGTCCTTGGAAAGTACATGGGATTTCAAAATCAAAATACAACATTTGAGCTACTAACAGTATATGGAGTCCTGGCTCCAAGGTTTTAAAACCTCTTCCTGAGATCAAGCTTGAATCGCAGGATTTTCATTGGTCAATTCACATTCTGTGCCTGTTTCTGACCAATCAAATACCTGAGATCTGAGTTTGTGCTTAGACTATTTCTTTATAACCTCGGCCACTGAAGCTTCATCTGAAGGCACAGATCTGCAGGCCTACCTAGATCTATACCTGTAGCAAAGACTTATTACATTGGATACTTACAGATTGAGAGTTAAAATACTACATTATAGTTTTGTTGGTTATTATAGTTTTGTTGGTTCAATGTATGTGGCCGGAAGTTGTTTTTTTTACGAAAATATCCTTTTACCAAAATGTTTACAGTTTTGATAAAAAGTATGTCGCAAAACGAATTTAAGTGCCATAGGTTTAGGACAGGCTGATGATTCATACGTATACTAAGCGAGATGAAAACATTGATGAGGAACGCTTCCGGATACTTGTAAGAACGTCTGCTACGTCACAAATGTAGATGTCTTTTAACAGATTGCAATCTCGGATGGTATGCGAATATTCGGTTATATGGCAATGACCCATTATCATCTATGTAAATATGTTGTAGATGATTCTACGATATTGTAGAACCACCTTGATGGCATCCGAACATAAATCCGTCAGACGCTTGAATGGCACGTGAACTATTTCACATATGTCGTCTGTTATAACTTTTTTATAACTTGCAGAAAAAATAGGATTTTATTGTTCAGACGTCACCTGGAGAAATAGAAAATGTTGCCAACTATTACATCATTGATGTACACGTTGTAATATTAGTATGGAATGCTTTTTGAATCGTCATCATACTTAGCATTCTTCACATAAGCCATGCTGAACAACCTTTTTATATCTTTAATTAAACATGTCATTCTAAAAATAAAAAAACAACTTTGACGAGCTTGTTTGTGGTGAAGGCCATAGAAGTTAACATGTATATTAGATATTAGATGAATAAGAATCAGAACTGACTTCTTCCTTAGTATGTTGCTTTTTTTAGTGGAAACTCGTGATCTAGATAATGGAAGTTGGATTTTATACACTCTACTACAACCGTCAACTCTCCATTCTTAAAATCAAATTCCCTAGTAGGTACAAGAAACCTTATTACATGATTAAAGTTGGAAACCCCCCAGGGTCGGCGTGACTTCAGAACCCCCTCCCCCAAACATGCTGTACATGCATACATGATAGATATTTTTACCAAAACTGAACACTTATCAGTGACGTCTCTCATAAAGTTTTAAATACGCAAAAAGTCGAGAGGCTTGAATAGCGCATAAATAATCAAAACTATGATAAAAATTACAAAAATCAAATTTAAATGAATACCTCCTAGAAAGTTTATATATACTTGCAAAGTCATTTGTCAAACCGTTTTTTCCCCTTTTTTCCTTCTAGAAATCGGGGTATTTATACAATTTGAAAATATTTGTTATCAATTTTAACCAATCATTTAAATTATATAATACAAAACTACATAATATATTGACAGAAATGCTTTACAACTTTACAACTGAATCTGCATTTTAATCATGCAAATTATTTTCACTCCACTGAATATATTCTATACAAATCAAATTTAAAATTATCTTAACAAAAACTGTCTTAAAAATCATTTACATTCCATTATGTGTGTTTAAAACCCTTTTATTTTTTTCTTTCATCTAACATTAATGAAAGAGCATTTATTTGAAATATGTATATAATTTTATACATTTGTACTTGCGTGGTATCTCTTCACTGTCTTGTCACCGTGTGAGAGGAAAATGGCAACAAAAAACATGAAAGGAAATTATTAAATATTATAATGTTTTATTGTCATTATTTCTATGTTAAGAATGGCAGTAATGATATTTTTACTTTTATTGTGTTTGTTCTGTTGTGTTTGTTTCTTTACTGTGTTTGTTTCTTTACTGTGTGTGTTTCTTTACTGTGTGTGTTTATTTACTGTGTTTGTTTTTCTTAATGTGTTTTTACTGTACATTTATTGATTGTTGTACATATGTTTTTGTTTTACAACATGTTTGTTGTACATTTACAGTTTCGGTGTTACCAACAACAACTCCAATATTTAAACCTGAAATTAATAGGCTATTCAATCACTGTATTACCCCGGATATTTAAACCTGAATAACCTGGAACTTGTCTGTCTGTAACTCCAATATTTACCATGTTACCCCGGTTATATTACTCCAATTATCAGTTTAAAGAGCTATACAACTGAATTATGGACAATGTCATACGTTAAAATATTCATTCTGATCGTCGTCAGTATCATCATTATCCTCCTCCTCCTCATCATCATCATTAACATTATGATCATCGTCACCACCACCATCATCAACATCATCATCCCACCACCGATATCATCATCATCGTCATCATCATTATTCTTTTCCTCCTCCGCATCATCATCAGCAGCAGCAACATCATGATCATCATCAATATCATGACCATTAACACCAGCAGCATCACCAACATAATCATCACCATCAGTATCATCATCATCATCATCAGTATCATCACCAGCTTTCCCTAGCGCATAAAATATATCGCCATTGTCATAATGATCCTCATCATTTTCAACTTTGCTGTCATCAAATTTATAATCAGCATCCCCAAATATTTTGATAAATAAGCTAAATGTTCTTAACTTATGCCACCATAACAACCAAGTAACATGTATATACATTATGACCGGTGAAAGTTCTTGTACTTTTTCTTTAAATATAGTCAGTATGGTATTATCAATGGTCTGAATAACAAAAAGAGAAAAGTGTTTGTTTTAAAGTTTTATTTTTTCTCATTTTAGTAAAAAAAAATCATACTTCACAAATGAGACAATAAATAAATGAGCTATGGACAAAATGACAAGAGATAATCGTTAGATGTGACAAAAATCATATTATAAAATGTTATTTATTTTAAACAATAACCCATACAATTAAACATAACTATACATGATACCGCCCCACCAGGTGGTTAGAAAAAAAGTTGTACAATGTAAATTAGAACACATAAGTTTTAGAGGAGTATTTTGTGCAGTTTTATATATAACATTTTGTACAATTTTTACATTTACAATAATACTTATTGGTTTGTTGTTTTGTTGAAGAAATAAAACAACCCGTTTGATAAAAAGTAAAAAAATACTTTCGACAAAATTTCGAGAAAACCGTGTGTCTTGATGGTATGAAAGCAAAAAACTTGCCAAGAAAATTTATCTGGCGATATCACATTGTTACTTCTGAAGAATTCCTTTTGAAACAAAAAGTTGTTTGCGTTAAAAAAAATCATAAAATTTGAAAAGAGCTTTGGAGAAAAAGTTCTGAAAAAAGTTTAAACTAACTAAAATAAGTCATATTGCACATTGCCTATGCCTTGAGGCATAGTTAAGAAAAAGTTTCTTTCTTATTATCTACCATGAATTATATAAATGGATGCCTTCTGTAACATTGTAGTATATCATTTATATTTCTAAATGTTGTAATACATTCTCTCCGATAGGAGATCGTTATTCTGTTAGGGAACCTCCCACCCCATTCCATTCTACCACCGCTGTACGTACTAGTCTATAAAAACGACACATTCACCCATTATCCAAAAATATATATAATATTGTATAATATTCACTATTTCTAACGCTGTTTAATGTCACAATATATTAAAATACATTGGCATTCAAGATAACACTTGGCCAGGGTAATCCCAGTAAAACTGTGGCTTAGTAATTTTAAGTGTTATTCAAATACAGAAATCTTATCATTGTAAAAATAATTTCATAGCACACTTATTGCCCGTTCGGCAAATACCGAATTATTCCGAAAAAATACCGGAAGTCAATGTTAAAGCAAAAGCAGTACGGCCGAAAAAATCAATGTTGTCTGGTTATATTTTTTTTCATTTCGGATTGCAGATTTAATGACAAAAAAGCTATAAAATTATTATAAATAAGCATAGGCCAATTTGGTTCATGTGATTATAAGAGCTTATTCCAACATAAAACATAATTAAAACCACAAATTGAACTATCTGAATGCCTCAATATATTCAATGTACGTCAAAAGTAATGAACCATATCACCGAAATCATAACCAACAGTTTTTTTTAAAATTCTGGTGTATATCTGTAAGATAATGAAATGTAAGTTTCAATTCGTGTGAATTTGAATTGTTGCTTGAAACTTGCGTCATAGTCATGTGATTACACATAATGGCCACGAGAAATTCAAGATGCATTAACGTTTACTTATGGCTGTTATTCCCCACCATAGTAAAAGAAGGCCACTACTTTTAAGTATAGTATTAGTTAATATTACCCACAAAAACATGTCAAATATTATAAAATCTTACATCAAGACTACATGATTGAGCGCTTGAGCCATTTTTATAAAGAAATGGAATTACAGTTTTGGAATGTTAAAATCACTTTGCTAATTGTTTTAGTAACGATATTTACATCTTGTAGATTTGTATTTGCTTCATGAATTAATTTCCAAGCATACTTCATGACATGTGTTATTCCAATGATTATTCAATGAACGTTTAATTTCAAGACAACTGATTCTTGACTTGGAACAAGGTCAATGAGTAAACTATGTACGTTACTGTCGTCTGCGACTCGTCGTCTGCACAAGGCATTATTTTCACGCTTGTAAGGTTTCCACTGTTAAAACCAAACAAGCGATCGTTTTCACTGTCACACTCACGAGCTGGGAACCACACCCCTACGGGTCCGGTCCACTCGTACTCCACTCCTAGTGTCATTTGAGTTTATCGCCATTCAGAATACTGGCCGTCGAGTTTCTTTTATATCACAGATAGAGCTATACTGGGCACTACATGGTGGATTTATCTAGGGCTGCTCTCTTGGAGATGTTTGTCTGTGGAATAGAAAATAGAACAATCATATAAAATCAGCATCTTCATCCAATCACAAACCACATAAACTTGAACCTTTCAAGTACTTTTAATAACGCATGAATGAAATGTTTGAAGATTTTTTTAAACTATCTCCAATACATAGTTTTTCAGTCAGATGTTTATCTTACGTACTTAAGTACATCATCTAAGCATAATTATTAGAGATGATCTTCTCGCTATATCTTAATTCAAAACATGTGTGCCTTTTTTCAAAGAGGCAAACAAGCAATGCTCTCAGAAAAAATTCTCCTTTTTACTCAATTTTAGAAACATAGTAGGCACGTCTAAAGCAGATAATTACCTTTCATATTAAACTGACGTTTACTTTTTGCAAGACATGAAGATTTGCAGGATGACTTTCTTGAAAAATTGTTTCCATTCGTCTTGCAACCGGTGAACTTTTCACACTTATTTGTCTTTGAGTTAAAATGCCATCTTTTCGTTTTATTTTCACATTTGTAAGCGTCTACACTCAAAGATAATTCACAGTCTGGATTTTGAGCTACTTCCGCTGATTTAAAAGCTTTCTGTGCGTTCTTTCTCTTCATAAAAGGGAATCTACATTGCTCTTTGCAGTATAGCTTTCTTCCGAAATTGTTGCCGGAAGTGACGCATCCCAAAAATCGATCGCATTTTCCAGTCATTGGATTGAAATACCAGCGTCTTCGCTTATGTTTGCAGTCAACTGCTGCCATTGGGAGTGCTTGTGAGCAAACATCAACGTCATTTCCGGTGTTTTTACTCAGCCATTGGTCAGGATCATCTAACACCGGAAATTCCAACCAATCTCCATACTCGTCCTTATTTACAGTATGTACATGTGTTGTCTCTTCTGAAGTAGAATAAAATAATATATAATCGATGCAAGAAATAACTGTCTATGAAGTTTTATGATTCTCTTTTGTCGAACATGTCAATGTTTCGCGATGGTTTTTGAAATATAATTTGTTCAACCTTTTTTCAGATTTAACGTTCTACCACCGTTTCGGTTGTGAAAGCATTCTATATTGTTTACAGATACATTTAAAAATAGCTAAGTCACACACTCTGACGATCATTTATATGACCATTTCTCTGTACAAATTTAGTATAATTTTACTTTTATAACTTGTGGCATACGTTTTGCAAATCATACTTTTACCACAAAAATCACTCGATTATTAATAATTTGTTTGGCGACTCTATTTTGATTTGCAGGGATGTTTTACAAATAAAAACGTCTGTTAGGCCTACACTGGGATAGGAATGGTATGTAACGAATTAGTGTCTGGAATTAAATAGATAATTATGTTTACCTCCGTATTTTTTCTATGTAATATTTACATACGATGGATATGAATGATTCTGTTTTTATGATTACTTACAAGGCAATCGTGATGAGTTAATATATAGATAATCCGTAAGCTTAACACATAAAGAGGATGGCGATTTATTTTTAGAAAGTTTACGTGCTTGAGATAGTATATTAAGACGCTGCCGTACAACTTAATTTTGTTTTTGTCCTGTTTTCGTGTTAAACTAGGTGTAAAATTAATCTGTGAATAAATAGTACAGACAAACATTTTCTGCCAAGTAGTTGATTATTAAGGTCAAATTCGCAATTTTTACATATTGTGAAAACTTGTTATCAGATGAAAATGTTCTTGGATTGAAACTGAAAATTGGAAAGTGCAAACAAATTTGATAAGAAATTTAAATCTTATTTGATACATTTGATAAATTTGGGGAGACGAAAAACAGATATTTTTGACATATCAATTCACGAATCTATTTATTCTTATTTCTTTATCAAAATAAGTGACCTTAAAACTAGGTCAACTCGGAATAAAGCTAATACGTAACGATAAAAAGATGCATTCTTTACTTTGATGACCTATATAAGAAAAAATATCTAAGTAGTGCAAGAAAATTATGTTAACAACATATTAACTGTGAATTTATAATCTCTTTATTGTAAAAAGCGTCTTTTAATACTCACGGTAAAGCGTTTAAATTACAATGATCTAATGTAGCAGACGATCATTAAAGTGAAAAATACAAAATTGATCTAAGAGTAAGAGGAATTTTCACAATTAAATTTAATGTGACACAGTTTACGTACAATATATGGAAAGTTTCTGATTCTCTTAAATACAAACATAGTGTTTTATGTATCTTGGAGTCAGTATTTTCTAATGTTTATATAGAGAGTTGGGCCACTGTATACTTAAGGGGTGCACTTATAACTTCAAATATTAATCGAACCAAAATGTTTGTAAATGGTAATGACACTATGATTGTGACAATAATGTAAAATTTGACGTAAAGCTACCTGAAATCAGTTCCATCTTTAATAAAATGAATGTGGCCTTTTACCTAGCTTGCGAATTATTTTTATTGTTTTGCTATTTTGAACAAGTGTTTGGAAAAAAACTGTCATTAATTTTGTTACAGGTAAAATATATTAAGCTCTTTTGCACCAGACTTTTTATAAAGATCTACCTTTTATTTTGTCATAGGTAAAATGAGTTCAGTTTCACGAGAAAACCAATGTAGTGGAGTCAGCTTAAGGTGGAGGCCTTAATGTAACGTTTGACTTCCAGCTTGCTCAATGGGCCTTTTGTTGAATACAATGAACTGAATTCTTTGTGGATGTATATACAAACAACCCGGGTGTCAATCGCTTTGTTAGAAATTGATTTATCTACCCTCAGATGTGTTATTTGGCGGAGTTTGGCTATCTCATTTCTGTTATGAACAAATACTCAGCTATTTGAACTCCTAATATACCTGACCTAATCGTAACAATAATAGACAATTGATATCTATTTAAGAAAAAAAAATACTGGGAGTAAAGTAGCAATTTTTGAACACTTTTAAGGTTAACAATCCTAGATTATCTCATCAAGAAACTTAAACAAACAAGCGTTTGATCAAATTTCAAACGTCTGTATGATACCGATCTGATACGAGCTACCCGATGGGCCGTAGAAAGTTTTGATGTGTGGTAAAATAAACACTACCCTACGAAGTCGGACCCACAGTGTTCTTTCAAAGCTCAAAATCGCAAAATAATTGTAAAAGGTCAGATGTAAACATAATTTAAACTTAATTTTTTAGTGATAATAATATAGACATCGCAAGAATAAGTTTATTTCAAAGGTAGTGAATACCTCGTATCGCCCTTATAGTTTAAAGAATAGAATACCGTATCAATATTATAATAGCATTGAACTTATCACTTTGTAACTCGAGTGAGTTTTAGATTGTAATAGTGAAAAATAAAATGTATACAAAGTTCTTAATTACATAGCGCTTGAATACAGAACATTTCGCGCCATTTACGTTAAGATTGTAAATGGGGAATAGGATTTACAAACAAAAAATAATAAGAAAAAATAAATGAATAAAAATAAAAAAAATAAAAAAATCCAGTATTCAAAGAAGTAAAGGAAAGTTTCAACCAAAAATAGATAATTCATACTGAATAGTTTGCCAAAGGTGATAATGGGTGGCATCTGAGAAAGGTTCGTGAATTACACGGATATTTAAGACGTAGTTCACAACGTTCAAACTACGGAAGCAAAACCGAGACACCTATTTATAACTACATCAGAATAGTTTATTTAAAGACACATCTGTGTTTCATACTGGTATAAATACAGTTTATATAAATAAGCCCATAGTTTATTATCAATTCAAGGTCATTTAATGTGGCCCGCTGGAGCAGACGATCATTTTAATTGCGATTTTTACAATCCAGGACAATTATTCGTGTTTTAAATCGACAATAAATCATTGCGCACTGTTTAGCTATATATCTCTACATCTTCAGTGACTTTCACTTTTTATATATATCACTTGAGATGTGTATTTACTTAAAGAGAGATAGCTTTAATATTTCATAATTTGATTTAATAATCGTCTTTTGAATCATATTAAAGAAAAGAAGAATTGGATAGTTATATAAATAGTAAAAACCGCTGTTTCGATAGGCGTGCCGCGTTATTGGATCATTTCACAAATATGCACATTGACGCCTTTTTGTTAAAAATTCGGAGACTGAAATCTTTGTACGGATTTAAAATAGTCAAATAATGAAACAGAGTATGTTTTAGTTGAATCAGTTGCCGTCTTATTTACGTTAGGTCATAATTCTAGTACTTGTGAGGTATATTTATAACACTTTAACAACTCAAAGTTGTTCCTAAACGCCTGACCTTTAAAAGTTCATAACTATTAAATGACGTAAAGATAGGGTTTTCCTACGATAAAATTTCATGCTGTCTGAAAAACAAACAGTATACTTTTTCTTTAATGATACCTTATATTACTTCTTATTGTTTCTAAGTAGCATTTAAAAACATGGTTCACATTTGTATTGAATTTCAACTACACCCATCCATTCATAAGGGCAGTTACAAGTCCCCAGTGCGTCAGCAAAATTTATATTGCCTTACAGAAAAATATGCCTCAAACCGCAAAGTCGTTGTCTTGTAACATATGCCTTGTAATATATTTTATTTATTTTTATTATCTACGAGCCTGCGGAATGCTTCTTTTTCATTCGCATATATAATTACGTGATACGCTCGTATATAGTAAGTATGAACATTGATAACGTTCGATTGGTCAAGTACGATTTTTCTACTGCAGTTTAGTCTTTGTATTAGAAATGTACACCGTATTTATGGCATGATATTGAATTATTGTGATGTAACAAATTACGACATATTTTATTTTTACAATTATTTTTATCAAATAATTTTAATTAATTCAAAAGATTTAGATGCGTGGTTTAAAGCAAAATTGCCAAACTTACCTATACATTTTGTCACTGGACGACAAGGTTCCCATCCGCAGTTTTTCGGCATTTCAGCAAAACAAGTAGCTCCTTGCAGACACATAATGTTCTGAAAAAGTAGAAAATAAAACCCTTGTAAATTCCTTAAACTAATTTGGCATTTTCTCTCTGACAGAACGACGGAAACAACAACAACAACAACGTTAACTCCTCCTGCATTCCCCTCGAACAAAAAAAAAAACTACAAAAAAAAAAAAAAAAAAAACAAAAAAAAAAAAACAACAACAAACCCCCCCCCCCAAAAAAAAAAAAAAAAAAAAAAAAAAAAAAGAAAAAAAAAGAACCACACATCAAACACACAAAAAACTAACTTCTGACTATTTTCTTAGTTGGATTTTCATGTCATGTATATTTGATATTTATACTTCCGATCATACAATATATATATCGTATACATCATGTATCATATTATATCATAATTTATATCACTTGTATATTGTATATATCATCGATCAATCTTATCAAATTTAATGAGGCAATTCATATGAATAACAGAATGAGAATGCGGCATGACAAATGCATAAAAAGAAACGAACAGCTGGTGTATGTTTTTGATGTGCAGGAGAGATAGTGCACCATACAAAAAATGCACGTGAAAATCACTTTTAAATTGTTTATGTCATTTCTATTAATAGCTTACCCTTGTCTCATCCCAATTCTTATCTAATTTTCATCATTATTTCAACTTTAGAGAAGATATATAATTGTGATAAATTCAATTTTCAAACGATGTAAGACGTACCATTTAATCTGTTTGCTAACAGCTTATACTTGAATGATTTAATACGTTTACATTAATATATATGATAATCTAGATGATGATGATGATGATGATGATGATGATGATGATGATGATGATGATGATGATGATAATTAGAACAATGATGGTTATGATTATAATGACGATATTGAACATGTTGATTGTTATGATGATACTGATCCTTATGCTTATGATGGCGCAGAAGATGATGACGAGAATAACTTTAGAACATAAGATTATCATTAAATACTGATGTTTCTGCCAATGATACCAAACATAATGGTGAAGACGCAAATGATGAAGATTAGCACATAGAAGAAGAAGAAGAAGAAGAAGAAGAAGAAGAAGAAGAAAAAGAAGAAGAAGAAGAGGGAGAGGAAGAAGAAGAAAAAAGACGAAAAAGGAAACAAGAATAGGAAAAAGATAACATGATTATGACTGAGACGACGAAGAAGATTTAACAGAAGAAAAAGATGTTGATGATTATGAATACAATTATTATGATGATGATGTTGTAAATGATTGTGTTATTTGAACATAAGTGAAATATATCAGATAACTTTTGTAATAAAACATTTATGGAGACAGTATTATATATCAGCAATATTTAGTTTGTTTTGTTCCCAAGCATGAAAAAAAATTTTCGTGAAGAAAGTTCATTAAGAGGTTAATCTTCACCATCAACTCCAATTTTTCATAAACAGATCGTAAAAAACGAGGGAAGTTTTGAATACTTATAACACCATAAAGTCGTCATAAAAACATATAATGTGTGCATAATGAATGCGACACGTGACCTTGCTATAATAAAACATCTCCGATGAGGTTATGACCTTACGTTAGTTACTTTAATACATTGCTTACTGGCCATCTAATTTGACTAAGTATCCGAGGCTCGGAACAATCCGGGAGATGTTCCACCACTTTTGGAGTCGTTCAAAGGTCTAATAAGTGTCTGCATAACCGGGAGGAACAAAATCATGTCAATAAGACGCTTTTAAAATTAAACATAAGAAACGGAAAAAAAAGTTTGCTAAACTGATACGATCTTTTATAGATATAATAGATACAAGAGAGACTCATTTTCTCTCATGCCGAACCCTGTACTTCTGAGTTCTACGCGTGAATTTCGTGCTATATCAGAACGTTTTATTTTTTAATTAATATTTTCAGCTGTTCTAGACTTTGACGGACAGATATTGGTCTTATTCAAATTTCATTTGATTTAAGAGTACAGGTTGCTCAAAACGACAAAGGCAAGCGTCTACAATACCAATCATTACAATCTAATTAAATCATTTACGGCCTTTGATGTCGCCGATGCTGCAGTAATTAACAGATAACCCGTGCTTATTTCAGTGACTCTGATAAAGATAATGTGTTATTTCGTGATGGTTAGGTACAAAGTTCAACGATATTTTGTAAACTTAATTAAGCGCCCACAACACTCAATAGTCTTTTGTGCTACATCTACAACAAATTAGCCTATTTCTTTCGTCCAAAACGCGTGAGGAACTTTGACACCATTATTAAGGGTGGGACATAATTATCATTAAATCTTCATAAAATCGGAGTTCTTTTCCAGGAAATAAAAAAAATTATATAATTACTTCATTTGTTTTATTAAAACGTTTAAGGTTGTAACATAACATAAATTGCTTACGTAACATAACATAAAGTGAAATATATACGTATATTGAAGATATAAATACTATACTCAATAGTTGGTTCAAATAAAAAAAAATAAAACAAAGAATTGGAACTGAATCTGGTGGTATTAACAGTGGATAAGCGGGATGGTCTTAATTCTGGATCATGTAACCATTGACATAAAGAACAGAGAATTTAGTTCTTTAAAAAAATGGTCTTAATAACGGGATGGTCTTAATTCCGGAGTGGTCTTAAGTAGGGATTCTACTGTATTGCAAGACATGACTGTATTAAGTCATGTCCAGTAAACTTGCAAATTTCATATAAAATAGTTAACTCGCATTTATGTGACGTGAGATGGACAAAGAGTATCACCACATCAGATCACGAAAATTAATAAAAATCAAACAAGTTTGATAAATAATGGATAACACGTGATAGGAATGTCTTGTAAGTGATTAATTGAGCATGGACTTTCTTCTACGTGCTCTTTAAGACTAATTAAAGCGTTTAACGATCTATATGATTGTCCGACATTCAATACTACAGGTGTTCAAATAACTTTATTGAAATCGCTGTTGTAATAAATTAGAGCAATTCCTTAATCGAAACGCTCAAATTGCACATTTACTATCGCGGTTTAGGGGACAGTCACTGGTCAACTTTCATCAACAAAGGAAAATGAAATATCTTCATCTAGAGAAAGAGCTATAAAGACAGGCAAATAAACAGACAGACAAACAGACATACACGCAGTTCAGTAGTAATAAGGGACGCGTTGCATCGCAGTGAGTCGGAATTAAAGCAAGTTCATTGTGAGATGTAGAGACGTTTCAATTTAAAAAAACAAAATTCGTACAACATAAAAATATCATAAGCCACTCAATGCCCTACGATAAATCTCAAATGTTTTTCAAACTCTTCAAAATAAATTGTTTTCTTTCAAATGAGATCATGGAATTGACCGAAACTTTACGCAAGTGTTAAATAGGCCGAGCGCGTGTTTTTTATGCACGGACAGCCGCCATAAACATATTTTTAGAAGCAGCAAGGAGCCGCGTTGGTTTTTTATAGCAGGTACGTCATAATTGTAAATCAGCAATTTAACACGACCAGACACCTAGAAAATTATGTATTTATCAGATAAACAGAGGTGAAATAGTTCTCTGGCTGATTTTAGTGGCCTTCACCCTGTTCCCCTCGTGACCATGTTGTTGTTTGGTGTGCGTGCAGGGGTGAAAACAAGTCCATCAGTAAAACTGAACAACAAGTCCAAAGAGTGCTTTGATTTTTTTTCAAAAAACAATTAAAGAAGATTCTTGATAAATAATCATGATACAATTTGAATCTGAGTATGCGGCATAAACAGTATCAGCGGCAACAATAACAACAATTATGTGTTGGCTACAAATGTACTGTCATAAGAGCAACTGCAGTTCTACTTTCATAAACATTATGTTAAATTTTGTTAGTTATAAATTTTATAAATATTCAGAATAATAATTATATTAAGAATAGTCTTTTATTATCCAAAGATCTAAATAAAAAATGGTAAATAGCGACGGCCTGAATCTAATTCGTCCAATTCGGTGAAGAACAACAACAACCACGGCAGCACATACAACAGCAAACCTTCCAAACAAAAAAGAGTGACCTTATACTATTGTAACATTATAGTCAAGGTGAGGTCACGTTTGTTTACCTCCTTTCAAAAGCAATCTCAACCTGCTTCATCGTTAGAGTTATTATTAATGTAGGGTACAGACATTCTTTGAATAAATAAGGCGGGAGATAGTATCAGACATTTCAGAATCGAGATTATATGATATCTTCTGCAAAATATTATCTGTTGCTATACCAGTTCGTTTACCATTTCCTGAGTTGGAATGATCCATTGTGATCAACATACTGAAATTGAGCAGACGACAGTGCAATGTCTGCATACTTCTCCACCGGAAGTGCTAACAAACCTGGTTTCTTACTTGGACTGGCATAAGAATAGCTGTATTTGGTTTTATTTTTTGACTACCAGCGCTCAAAAGGGCAATAAAATAACATTGAATGTAGAAATGGCAAAGAACGAAATTTACATCCCAACAATGTTAAGGATGGACTTACGCCTGGATACAAATGTCAACACTGTATAAGAATTGTCGTCTGATGTAATGAAAATTACCCAATTGTTACGTTCGAGATTCAAACAGCCTCTAAAATTGTAAAGAATCACTGAAATAGTGAAATAAATCTGATATCGTTAATTGAGCGTCTTTCAGAACTGAAGTTCTTTCTATTTTCGTTCCGTAAAACTTGTATAAATAGTTCTATTTTTAGCAGAGAAGAAGTCTAACAGGCTTTGTAACACTCCCACGCATCACCAGTAAAAATACAAGAACTCGTAAATTGTACAATTGTACGTCTGATGGTTTCTCGTATTGACAGTTTGATTTGAAGGCACTTGTCGTCTGCTTCTTGGTATAAGAATTTAATTTGAGCCGCGTCACGACAAAACCAACGCAATGCGTTTGCGACCAGCATGGATCCAGACCAGCCTGCGCAGGTCTGATCAGGATCCATGCTATTTGCTTACAAACCCTATTACGAGTAGAGAAGATGATAGCGAACAGCATGGATCCTGATCAGACTGCGCGGATGCGCAGGCTGGTCTGGATCCATGCTGGTCGCAAACCCATTATGTTGGTTTTGTCATGAAACGGCTCATTTGTCCTTAGTATTTATCAAACGATTTTAGAAGGCTAGAATAGAATTTCGGAGGAAATATCGCCTTTTGTGAGCAAATCTTTGTATTTATTTATGTTTACTTAATTAAAGTGTCTTAAATTATATCACATAAAGACATACTATCAAAATGGGTCGTTACTGTTAAATGAGGAAGTGTAAGAAATAACACTTTTTTTTTACAAAAGTTATTAATAATCCTGTAAAACAATTCCGTTTGTAGAAACGGAACAAAAACACGCAGACGTCTTTTTCAATTTAAGTGTTAACCTTGACGGCAAAATCTTGTTAGAAAAAGATAAATGTTAATTTGCTAGTAGGAACTTGCGGGGGAGTATGCATGGGTTAGAAATATCACAAAGACATCCAATTAGCACTTCAATAAAACGCCCTAGTTTTTTTCCTGGTTGAGTTCCCGCTTGATGAGCATGAATCACCTACAGAATGTAAATCATAAAAAAATCTTTAAGTGTTTTCTCTTCAACTTAAAGCCTTATCATCCAAACCATTTAAAAAACAAGATTTTTTTCTTTCCCTTGACTTTTAAATTAATCTTCTCATCATGATAACGTCTGAAAGAAAGGTTATCTGATGTTTTGATGTTGTAACAACTATCCTACTTTTTTTATAATCACGATCTGAATCAGAACCAAGGCATCTTAGTATTGCCGCTACTGGCATAATTTAACCAGCCATTTTACTAAAAACTGCGAAATGAATCGAAATCAACGAAAATGTAAATGATTAAATGTTTTATTTCGTTTAATTAATTTCGTGAAGTTAATGTTTCTAATAATAGCTCCACTGACCGAAAAAAGGGAAAAAATTTACCGAATTATACGGTATTATACGTACGGTATCAAAAATGTGGCACGCGCCGCAGTGGCTTTAACTGCCATGTTGGCACAAATACCTTACCGAATTGACTTTAAGTACCGTTTTGGCACAGAAACGTCATTTAGGAAAGTACTCATTGTAAATGAAATGTGAATTACGGCGATGTTTTTGGCATAACCTTTGACAGGTAAACATGCTGACATTACAAGTTTGACCTGTGCTCTACATTCAACACAATGCTATTTTTTTCCTATTTACAAAACAAGTATGCGGTGTTATTGTTATTTTTTCTGACGTTTACTTCATTTTTATGACATAACGTGCGGATTGTAAAATAACCAATCACTCAAAATGTTGCTATCATTTGCATTGCGTACATTTGCGCGATTGATTTAAGAATATGTCATAAAAATATTTTAAGCCCGAGTTTATTTAGGACAATTCATTAACTGTAGATTCTAAGGATATTAGTAAAAGGTCAGTTAATTTTCATTATTGTTCCAGAATATAAAGCTTGCTTGTGTATTTGACACAAATTGCCTTTTTCAATATGCTATTCGAGACTCTTAAGTTTGACCTTATCTAAGTGGTATTGCAGCTCGACCACATTAAAGACAATATATAATCGGTTTAACGAAAAGAACGAATTAAACGGAATGTGCGAGCTTGTCAAAAACAAGTGCGATATGTTAATAAAAAAGAGAACCGCAATTCATTATAATTTTGTTTATGAACTAAAGATGTGAAGGAAGACGTAACGCTGGAAATACACCGAAGACGTGAACGCTAAACATACTTGTATCATAGACGTGAACGCAGGCCAAATATCACAACATTATCAAGAAAACAAGAACCCTAGTTGCACAAGACCTTTGTAATTCAATACAAGTAACTGGAAGCTAATGTTTTTCTAGGACATTTAGTCATTAAAAAAGGGGGTATAAGATCCTCATAGAATATTACAAACAACAGAAACCGAAGAATGCATCTCAAGTGAACGATGCATTTTTAATTCACTCTTCAAGGATATGATGCCTTGGGGTTTAGATAATAAATATGCCTTTTAAGCACCTACAGGAAACAAAAACAAATATAATTGAACGCCATTTTTAATTAAGAAAAAGTACATACATGACTGTACTTATGTAATGTATATTTTAGGTAACGATCCTTGTAAAAATCATTGCATTGCAAAATAATAACACAACCAATGCTATTGTTATTACAATAAAATGAAATCAATAAATCAATCAATCAATCAATAAATAAAAATGAACTAAACTGAAAATTACGTGAAACAACGATTAGTGACGGCATAATTATAACTACTATTAGCCGTACAAAAAAAATAATACCATTCGCATTTTATAGCATAATGAATTTTTCTTTGGAATTAATCGACATTACTGTATGTCAGCCATAAAAAGAGGCCAAAATGGTTTATAAATGCACGCAAATGTCAATATGTTAGTATCGCAGGAAGACAGGAAGTAATTAATTTACTATCTAAATGCTCTCTTAACAATAACATACATGTACCATGTATTTATTACCGCTTATTGACGCCTTGTCGTCTTTTCGCGTTTTCGCAAGACCAAGATACGACAAAGTCCAACTTTTCGTAGCGAAAATGCGAAATAAATACAAAAGTAACGACGTGGCGTAAATAGTCACCATATTTATTCGACTTTGAGTAAAGATATATCTATTAACTAAAACTAAAAATTCACTTGCTATAAAGATGATAATGATGAATGTGATGATGATTGTGATGATGATGATGACGATGATGACAGTGGCGATAAATGAGATGAAGAGGAGGATGCTGATAATGTCGAAGAAGAAAGCCTGAATTGGTAGTATTATTAATACCTTAGTGTAAGGTTATTTCAATTAAAATGCATTTTGAAATAAAATCACATAAGTTCACTTACTCTACAAGGATCAAAACATCTACACGTAAGTTTTCCCTCCACGTCCGGTACAAATCCAAACGGACAAGGATTGTTACATTTTAATGTCTGTTCTTTGTCCATTTTTTCTCGTCGTTCAAGAACAGCATTGTTGAATGCATGGCTGAGTACAGACTGAAATAAACAAGTGAAATATATAGGATAGACATTTTATATGGAACACATGAAATATATGTGTTTCTAGAAAAAAAAACAAATCGGCGAAAGTATTAAAAATCTATTTACTTGATTAATAACCTTGAGGAAAACTTTGAGCTTCCAGTACTCGGTCATGGAGACAATGTAAGGAATATGGTCAAGGTCGCAATAAAGCTTGGACGCATGGACCTTTGTTGGTCATTTATTTATTGCAAAGACACAAATCTTTTAATTTTAATCAGATAATTTACTACACAAAACCAGCATTTGATGTATTATAGTGTAAAACTAAACATGGAAAAGAAAGTATTTAACGTTTGTTTTCGGTTGGGCAAAATACATATTTGACAAATATTTTAGAACAAAACAAACAATAAGTCTTTTAAAATAATGATACACGAAAAGGGAAACATCTATTTTAAACAACAAGTTATACAATTATGACACGTTATTTGAGGTTTTATTTTAATAAGCTACTTAAATGAATGAGTGTTTTAAGTGAATGAGCATTTCTTCCGCATTTTATCATGACCATGTTTAGCAAACAATGCTATAAAATCATGATGCTAAATGAAGTATCATCATTCGTGATAATATTACACTCATTGTTGTCAAATACGTAAAGTTCTGTTATATGAATAACCCTACTTACATACACACATACACTTAACAATGACGCGGTGAGCTTATATGGTAAATAATAGCCCCACATACTTTTGTTTCAAGTGGAAATGATGAGTGTTTCATTGTGACGTAATATATAAACATTCTAAATTACAAAATATGGTGCTTTATAGTTTTTGAAGTAATATTGAGACTCAAATTTTCACTTTTCAAGAAAATAAGAAAAATGTACGCGTAATTGTAATTGCTTAATCTTTTCTTTTCTACAAATTCGTTGACAAACAATTTTTTGTAGCTCTAACATTCAAAACATGAGTTAACAGCGGTGTTTAATTATCCTGTAAAAATTGATATATATATACATACATTCATTTCTCCTTTATTTATTTAAGTTTCTTTTTTATAAACACCTGTTTACGCATATGAAATTAACACAGTCGTCAGCAAACGACAGCAGGGGTTTGGAGTCTCAAAGAAGCACGGGATACACAGCACAAAGAAAACCAGAATTGGGAACAAGTTGCTCCTTTCTCAAATTTCATTAAAATAAAATTTACATGAGAACGACTAAAACCTGTAACCCGGTTTTTAAAGAGACAGGTCAAAGTGTGACGGCGCGCCATATCAGCCAATGTCAACGTAACGGATTCCAATTTAAAATTTCTTTTTATCAAAGACCAAAAAAGTATGTTCCAAAACACCTGGCGGAAATTAGATCCGTTTTTTTTGTGGTTGTTAAAAAAATGAAATACAAATGAAATTTCTTAATGGCTTTTCGACACTTTATACCGTCATCTAAGCTTCATGTTCACTCATTTCAAGGAAAAAAAGGACAGAAACTGTCCAACAAACATGTCAATATGATAAGTGGTTTGGAACTTAAAAGAAGCATTTTTTACAGATAAACTTGTAATCAGAATGCACCACGTGTTATGCTGATTTCTGAGAATTTGGAGTTAAGTTTAGGCTAAAAATACCAGAGATGGTTCAATAATGATATGAGATTTTTTAACTGCTTTTATATGATGTAGTTATTTCCATCCACATACTATATCTACGTAAATAAATAAGACATAGATATTACAAAAAAACACATAAATACCAGCTCATCAGGCGGTGACCTTATAACATCGGTGATAACATGCCAACGTGTTAGCGTACAAACGAAAGGAATGTATGGGGGAAGTGTTTCATGGAAAATAATGTACTGAAACAGTCGTACCTAGACGTATAACTAAATACTTCTAATACTTAATTCTACATCAAAATTTCGAAGAATTTAATAGAATTTTCGAAGAGTTATCATTGATTATTACTGATTAGATATAAATTCATTGTCCATAATAATTTATTTGCAACTTTCTTTCTCGGTGTTGAGAATTGTTTCTTTTTCTTTCTTTTTTGTGTTTTTGTCTCTCTTTTCGTCTTTTTTTTTTGCTAGAAATAATAACTAGGAGATATTGTATTGTTGTCAGTCAATATGATAGTAAAGTAACGTTTTTCTGTTGTTGTTGTTGTTTTAAAACACGCATCTGTTCTTAAGCAAACGTGCAGACGTACCGACTTAGTATAAACATAATGAAATTGCATATTTGGTTAATAATATTAATATGAATAAAGTATAATACATAAACATGCGAAGTACGAACGTTTTGATTGTTATAAAAGTATCATAACGTTAAAATAAACTGATGTGAGGAAAGAGATAAAATCCTGAGAAATGAGATGGCCTACCCTGAGGACATACTTAAGCCCAACGACCCTGATATTATCCTTCGGAATGACTGTGCAAAATGCTGTCAATTTAAACATGTTAATTTCTAAATACACACACAAAAGAATGCGACGAGTCTTTCGACGATTTTGTCAAGTATTAATACTTCAAATCAACTAAAAATAAATAAGTTTCAGTATTTTCAACTGATATTTGATTTGAAGGGTTTAATACCGTTCAAAAAAGCTATATCACTATTTATTGCATTATTTTTTTTCAAAGTGGGTATACATTTCATAAATCTTACATCCATTTTAGTGGGTGAAATTCGTTTACGAGAGCCAAAAAGTACGGTTTATAATTCTGGGTATTTAAGGGGGAAAATCTGGCGAAGAGGCTTAATTATTATTCATCTGTCTCTCTGGAAAAGACAAAAACATGGTCATTTCGTCATAACAGATTCTTTTTTTCCATAAACCACGCAGACGATTACGATAATAGCATGGTGTTGACGGGCAAAGGTAACGCGTTTAGACATTACCATCATATGTGTAACCTCACCTGTCATATTTATATTTGTAACATGCTATGTTAGTGATTTACATCTTCTAATTGCTGATATATTCCCGAGTTTTTACTTCACACAAATGTCGTCTGCATCATATGATATTAATATTTCAACTGCCAAAATAGTTGGCGCTGTATTTCCCAAGGTTTAGAAGGGTCAATGCCTTTATTATACAGGGGGTCCGAGGTTTAAAACATCCGTACACTCGTTTGCGAATTCAAAGTTGATTAGAAAATAAATTATTAATTTACCTAATAATCATTATAGTTAAAAAAGCAGCTTTAAATCGAATATATTGCACATGTAATTCCTAGAAAGTCTCTTCTTGGAAGCATACGATGCCAAAAATTAGCCTCTACAAGCAAAGAAAAAAACACCCCACCATTTCTATTGCTTCAAAAAACGTATACGACAAAAAAACGTACTTAAAATGTACTGACGTAAATAGTAAATTCCAAACAATTACAAAACTTTGATTATTTCATATCTTTTATTCGCAGTGTCTCCATTTAATGGCATTTAAACAGTGTCTTCATGGTTTGGCATTGAGACACTGTCTCCAAATAATGACCCGGGGACAGATGTGACTTGCATTTGTATACAATATCTATCAAATAAAAGTATGCATATCGGTAAGAGTTCACAGTCAATAATTTCAGCAGGGGGTAATTTTAGAATATTCAAAATAACTTAAATAGCTTTTAAAATATCTCAAAATGCAGTGCGTTAACATTATACAACGAAATAATCTACGTTTAAAGATACTGCGTGACCTTGAAAATCATATGGATTAAACGGTTGTATTAAAGGGGTGCCGATGTAATGAAAGACACAAAATAAATCTAGAACGCTTTAACATAAGATTTAAAGAAAAACACATTTGAGAATAAACCACAATTTATTTGATTATAAAGAAGAGTTTATTGTTGGTAACAACATTTGAATTTATAATTTATAAATCCATTCAAATTGTTGCACAAAGCCCTATCGACACAAGATATGGCTTTTTGAAATGTGAACTTTTACAAGGGTCATGTCATGTGAACTTATAACTGGTTAAATAGATTTTTAAATAAAGATGGTATGAACTAATAAAGGGTTATGTGAACTAATAAAGGGTACAGCGAACTTATAAAGGGTCATATGAACTTATAAATGGTTATGTGAAGTTTTAAATGGTTAAATTAATCTATAAAACTTCCATAGTTTCAACATTAAACTATGGATGATCTGCTATAGTGTATGAATAAAACGAAACCTAAAAAACATGAGAAAGAAAACCACTACGAGAGCCCATAAATTTCATGCTACCCTATCACTTGCAAAGTTTGTATACCTTCTTATTTCTATAAATCGCAGACTTTCAGGCGTTTTCATCATTACAAATAAGAATCTATCATCCAGCTTTCACTGAATAATTACGAATTTTCAACTTTTCTGTTGTTTTTTTACTCAGCTAAGACAAATCGCATAATAAAGCGTTTGACAATGCACGTTCTGCAACAATCTGCATAATCTGGGAAGACATACTAAGAATAGGGCCATGTTTGATATTGGGATCGTTCTTTTTCATTAAGAATCCCACTCTTGCCCAGTTAAAACATTGTACATGAGATTGTACGCGTTAGGTGAAGAAAATCAATCTGATATTACTTGATTCGATTAATTCAACATTGTTTTTAAGAGGTAATATTTCCTGGTTCATGTGGCGGCATAAAATACTGGACAAGAGTTGCAGTCCTCATTCACCTTTGTCGGATGGTTTAGTATGACATTAGTTGTTGTATTTTTTGTATGATTATGTTGGGAAAACAACAAACACGAGATTTTCTTTCCATTCAGGAACTCATATCGTATTTGATGTCGCTTTATAGGTGACAATGACTTGATGATGGCCGAGCTAAAGGCAAGCCCGTCATTTACGGTGTTAGGACACGCAATCTCAGCTGATGATTTGCATGCTTCAGCAATTGTCAGTAGTGCATTGATAAAAAATGTTGATTCTCTTTGTACTTCTTTGACATACTCATTAGCAATCTTTCCCAGGTTAATAGTGCGAAAATACTTCAAAATAGTCTTAAAATATATGATCAGTAGCGTTTGCATTGCACGTGATGGCCTAATGACAGGTGCCATGGTTTGCGGACTTTCTGATTATAAGGGTTACAATAACATATGTCTGAGAGGGGATGTTAAGAAGTCATAAGTAAATTACGTAGCTTATCTTTTCTTATCTTTAAAACTTCGGCGAATTTATCACAATATTTCGAGCACGTGCTGTACATGGTAAAAATGTCACGCTGTGAGCTGAATAACAAAGGCAAATTCCAGGTTTATCTTAATTTGTTATAAGCGTCCTTAACTTTCGACACTCCGCGTTAGGTTCTTTTATTAAAAAAAATGTTATTTTAGGTAAGTTACTGAGATTGGAAAAAAATGGTCTACTTTTGTATAATAAAACTCCGACTTACCGCTTTTTATAAATAAAGTTAACTAGGTGCTACACTAAAAATATTTGCATATTTTATACACCTTATTTGCATAACCATGATAAAATGGTAATTGGTTTATGAATTAAATTGGGCTAATCTTTCAGCAAGAATGCGTTCTCGACCAAATATTTACATGTAAACTTATTTCATTTTAAACACGCTTTATTTTTATTCGTTTTCAATGAAAACATATTTAACGGTATTCCGTATCGAATTCAGTTTTAATACGGATGCGTAATTTATTTTCTCAATAAAACATGTTTGAATTAACAATGTTTCGGGTTAGCAGGTATTTACTCAACAGATATAAACTACTGAGAGGTACTTCACATAGTGACACGGAATTCCATGATGTCAGGTGTAATATTTACTAATGTCTTATTTAAAGGATTGAAAAGGTATTTTTGAAATGTCTGAAAAAAACCCAGGCCGCATTTTTTGTTCGAATGTATGTTTATATAAAACAAATGTTACTAATAATGTACTGGGTGTTGTCACGTATCAATTGATTTAGAATATTTTATATTAAACTTTTATTATTTAAATCACACAGCTTTATGATAGTCGGTTTAAATCATGCTATCATAAACAAGTTAAAAAACAACCCCCCAAAACCCCAAGGCAATCTGAATACAAAGTACAAATAACAAATTAGTGTATCTAATATATGCAAGTCCTCTTTGGTACAAGAACGAAACAAAATCATAATAAGTTGCAAACTAAAAATTAACAAAGTAAATAAAATGAAATTAAATCTTACCACAAATAGACTGCACCCATACAACAAACAAAAATATGTACATGTAGATGATTTCTCCATTGTATTCCAAAACATTAATAATTTTCTTTCTGTCAAACTAAATAGTCCTTAACGTATTGTAACGTTATTGAAACTCTTATTATAAAAATGTATCTATCCGTTAATACTATTGCATTTTATCTATAATTCTACGTATATATCTAAACCACGATTCGTATGTATCAAAGTTATATTGAATAATGACTTGATGTGGTGAATGTCTGTTACTTTATACCCACATTGGGTCTAACACGCTACGTAGCCACATGGAATGCTTAAAATTGTAAATAACGTATTATAGTGTTTATAGCGATACGCATTACAACTTTAATTCAAGGTTTTTTCCTAATTTGGATTTGACATGTGACGTCACGCGGTCAAACACGCCTCCTTGCGTTTCATTGGATAAATCCAACCGGAAGAGCTAATTGGCGACCAATCAGGAAGCGTGTATCATCAGCTGTAAATAAGTGAGGTCATTTGCAAGTTTACTACGATACTACGAAGTATTTTTAGCAGAGATTTATTTTTGAGCGTTTACGAATCGAGTGTTTTCGCGTGCCAAGGAGACGCAAATATGTTTGAGCAATACTTCAAATTAAATCATAGTAGGATGTATAATATCTATAAATAAGACAGATGGTTGTTTGTACTTTTTAAATGCTAATTATTTCCAGATAGTAAACTAAATATATTATGCGTGCTAGCTGTAATAAGAAATTCTACAAACATAGTTGTTGTTGTCCCGAAAAAGTAATAAAAGAAGAGGCATCACTCGCAGTTGTATAACTTCAATGTAGCATAATTATATCAGCTTTAACATTTGTGTTGGTTTTATTTTAAACTTTATAGTGGCAGATCCTAACCTTAAAACAAGATGATCAACCTCTTTAAACATAAGACTTTGTTATTTTTGTGTTAAAGAATAGAATTATTTCAGCGTTTCTTGTCCCCCCCCCCCGCTTTAACCGTTTGAAATTAGGAATGCGCCGTAAAACGAGCGACTAGGTATGCGCCGCGTGTTCGAAATGATATCAAAACAAAGATATATCTACTTGGCATCTGTAAGTTGCCCGTTTCAGTTTCCGGTGGCGTCTATAGATGCGCGTATGTATTTCACACGCTCAGCTTCGGAACTTAGAACTTTATTACTTGCCCGCATAGATAATAGATTTATTTTATCAGAAATTAGGAATCAAGCGTAAGTTTTATTCATAAATCTGTGTGAATTAAGTAAGATAGGTATTTAGCGTAACGTTTATGCATCTTGATGGAATGTTTTTAATAATTCATAAAAAAAACAACAACTAAAAAACTCCCTCACTCCTAATTGGTGTTTCTAGCATAATCAGGTAAGTATTTCAGATATTCAGGTTGTTATCTGTTACTATTTTTACAACTCCCATAGTGTGGTAATGCTTTAATTCATGAATAAATGATGTAATTTGTTGAATGAATACAATATCGTAAATAACTGTCGGAAACTGTTAACGTCTATGAATAATAACACAAGATTAAAAGCAGAGATGAGAATAAAAAAAGGGGTAGGGAGTGAGGGAATTCGCCTTCACAAATAAACAGGTTTACATTCCTGTACAGTGAGTTGATCTGTCTGATTCATGTCAGCGAAGGACATAGACGGAAGGCTTATCAGATAAATACTTTTTGCTCCCAGTAATTGTTGCACATGACTAACCGATGGCTTGTTTTTTCCTATCATTTTCGTTTTGCAACAAATTGTAACACCTGGATAGCACAACAGGAGAGCCTGAGTCAGAAACTTAATTTCAGGAGTTTTCGAGAGATTTTAATCACTTTATTTATTTGTAAATTGACAACTCATAGGGTGAAACTTGCAAATAAATTCTTGTTTATGGTGAACCTAATGCTTGTTTTTTTATCTTTTAATGTTAGAGTTTAACATGACGAAGTGAAAATGAGAAATTTTATGAGAAAGCTTTATACTTGTATATTAAAAAAAAAACAACAAAGAATTTTCTATTTTGAAAGACACGTTTATGTTTTTCTGTAGACCACCTAGATATGTAAAAAGAAGTACACACTATGTAGATACAACATTGTTTGGGGGACAATTAAGTATGGGTAAGAGTTCGTATTAAGACGACCGTAGGGAGTCTTATCGAATTCTTACCCATATAACTGCAAATCGGCTCTTACAACTCGATATCAGATAAAAATATAGAAAGTGTCACCTCTTTAATTAAGCATAACATTATTTTTCCCCAGCAGTCACGTACAAACAAAGATGGGGTCCAATTACTTAATCTGGCATGTAAAACAAGTATGGGTAAGAGTTCGTATTAAGACGACCGTAGGGAGTCTTATCGGACTCTTACCCATATAACTGCAAATCGGCTCTTACAACTCCATATCAGATAAAAATATAGAAAGTGTCACCTCTTTAATTAAGCATAACATTATTTTTCCCCAGCAGTCACGTACAAACAAGGATGGGGTCCAATTACTTAATCTGGCATGTAAAACAATGAGTTTTCAACAATACCTAGTATTTTTGATGCAATTCATTCCTGTCATATCAAACAAAATAATGTTTTGCTTACTTTTCCTAGAAAATATAAAACAGTCAGCAATTAATAATTGACACTTTTCATAGAGTTTTAAGGATATCAAAAAGTTACTGTGTTCACATTTGTCTCTGCGAGCTGAGCTCCACGTGCATTATCTATGTAATAAATTTGAATGTATCCTCACATTGCTACAGTGTTATCAGCCTTTTTAGAAACACCTGACCTGGCTAATTAAAATATGCCAATCACAATTTTCAATATCAGCACTGGTTTCTTCATGAAATAGCGGCTACACTAATTACTGCCGAGTAAGAGCCGATTTGCAGTTATTGAGTTTTTAACAATACCTAGGATTGTTAAAGCAATTCATTCCTGTCATATGAAACAAAATAATGTTTTGCTTACTTTTTCTAGAAAATATAAATAGTCATCAATTAATAATTGACATTTTTCTTAGAGTTAAAAGGATATCAAAAAGTTACTGTGTTCTCATTGTCTCTTAGATCTGAGCTCCACGTGCATTATCTATGTAATAAATTTGAATGTATCCTCACATTGCTACAGTGTTATCAGCCTTTTTAGAAACACCTGACCTGGCTAATTAAAATATGCCAATCACAATTTTCACTATCAGCACTGGTTTCTTCATGAAAAAGCGGCTACACTAATTACTGCCGAGTAAGAGCCGATTTGCAGTTATATGAGAAAAAAAAATCCCTCCACATTTCTAAAAATGTACGAGGGTCGAGGTTTTTTCCCCAAACTTGCGTATCATCGATTATTAATGTCACTCGGCCAATAATATTTTAATGTAATTTTAATTTGAAAACAAATGTCATTCTTTTCGACGTATGTTTGGCAAGATTCGGGCGCGTAAACGCAAAATTCTGTTCTTAATGCGAATTTTCTTTCTTGTACATTCTTATGGTCGGTTACCCGGCCACGGTATATATTTCTTAGATAATCTAGTATGTAAGGAAATAACTTATATGCTATGGGTAACCGACGACGGCAGATATTTCCGGTCTACGTCAAACTCAAACATCGTTTCTTCTGTTCACGTTCATATCCTGAACAACAAAGACAATACTTTAAAGGAATTTTCCCTTTGGGTTAAAATTTAAATAAAATTTACAGTTAACTCTTTACCCTAAACTTTTCTCTTTATATTTTACACCGAGCCCTGTTTAAAAAGGTTTTTTTTTATGAACAATCTTTCACTTTTTTTCAACCTTCCCCGGTAAAATTATACCCCTATTTTTTTAAAATATAAATGCCTTTCATACACGAATAATATCACCGAGTTACTTTGATACATTTATAAATACACGTAACAAGAGAGGTAGATCGTATGCATTAAAGCTATCAATTAAACCCCGAATGAAGTGTTTATCTCCCTTTAAACTTAAACGCATGTGTTTTTTTCTTTTTGATAAGTGGCTTAAAAGTACCATTAAAGCTGCGAAACCGCTGCAGTAAGTAAGTTGTAATGGCGTTAGATAATCTAAATCTATTTTCATATTAGTACAATATTATAAATACCAATTTCAACACGAACTTCGTATATGTATAGCGATCTCAGGCAGGATAAATTGCAGACGACATTTCTATTTAACAACTCGTTGAAAATAGGAAGAACTGAGAAAGATTATGACACGTACATGTCACGTTTTCCACCCTTATCAAGGTATCAAAATATAAAATAAATCTTCGAAGAGGATTCGAACTCTTGATTACGAGGCTACACCCCATTCGCTCTTATATCTATTGAATTTGCATGGTTGGGTAGCAAAACGCACTTTTATCAAGAATCAAGTGCATCGAAAGCACGTTGTTTCTATTTTTAAATGATGCCCGTCACGCCTGTTGAACGATATTCACGTCAATTACGTCATTCCCTGTTTAAGCCCTTTTACTTTTATGGACTGTTATCAAACGCCCATCTTTATATCATTTCATATAACACTAGAAATCGCACTCTTATCCAGCTGATTGAACTATTCAAAAATGTTGAAAGGAATTTAAGATATGCATTCTTTCCGCATATAACAAAATCCCCGTGTACGAAATACCTGTGGCTAGCATTATATTCCAATTATTTGCTTATAAAGTTGGGTAATCAGCAGCAGGGACTCTTAAAAAATGTAATACTACTTTAAAACCACGAGTTAACCATACGTAGCGATACGCGCGCCTGGTTATCTGTTATAAAAAAAGAGAATTTATAGCTTTATGATAGGCAAATATATCACATATCAATTATCTAAGACACGTTCAATATTCTCTCCAATAGGCCATTAACATTAAATGAGGTTGAAATTTTTTGATGCGTTTTTATATAAATATACAACTATTTATAATTAGCATGGTGAACAAATGTTTTTGGTTAAAACGTTACATAACAGTCAGTATTCCAAAAGTTTGGTAGGGCTAAACTAACATATCTGATGATCCGAACACGAGAATACATTTCACTTCCCATCCCCTATACCTGCAAGACAACCTGCGGTTTTCATACCAGTAATTAGACGCATCCTTACCTTCCCTCAACTTGTTCAGAAGCCTGGCATAAATTATGGACATCAGCATTGTACGCCCAAATAATCAGCAATGATAATACGTCAGTATTGTTTATATACAAGCCTGTATATATCCCATATTGAACCCTCCTGTCATCCAGAGTTGGGTCGAAAGTTGGTCAACGGATAAGATCATTTTCGC